TTTATGTTGCAGTAACTAACAACTAGTTCAAGGTTTATCTTAGTTTTTCTTAAACCTTCAACTTTACTTAATGGAAACTCATAACAGTCCAAACTTGCTACATAAAGTAACTGCTTTGCTTCAGTACTACCTACTGAAGTGGGATACTTTTGAATTGTAAGAAGTTTCACAAAAGTTGCTTTCACTTGACATTTCAGTGTCTAATCAAAGACAACTTCTATGAGGTACTAGCACTTGTGCAGCCAGAGAGTATGTATCCCATGGTACAAATCTTGCAATGCCTGTGTAGTCACACCATTTATTTCACATCAATTAAAGCACATTAACTGTAAGGTCAAGTGCTCACCAGGCCTTATTTTTCTTGTGCCAAAGATAGAGCAACAAAGTTTATGTACCTACTGACAGGAGTCAGAAGCAGCAGCCTGTCAGGACTCCACAATGAAAAAGCCCTGTAGGTGAAAATCCTACTAAGCTAGAATTCAAGAATGCTGTAAAGAGCTTAATGGCAGAAAAGTGGAGGAAGAAAGAAAATGCTAAGTGGAAAGATTTCTATTAATGAAAAGAAAAAATGGCAACGGGGCATGAATTTCTGAAAAGGCAAGCACAATGTCTAAGTCTAGTGCCTATTAAAAGCTCTGAAAGAAGTTTATATCATGACCTCCTGTTTGTGACTATCCTCAAAATTTCAGGCTTTCACAGTAGTTTCAGCCTTCAACAATAAAGCCATAAGGCATAAGCAACTAACAACTTTGTGCCCAACAGAGCAACTCAGCCAAAAGGAGGAAAGGGAGTGCAGCACTAATCTGACACTAAATACACATGACTTTTCACAGGATCAGCTACTGGCTAACTAGAAATACAGCAGTCTCTGTATTTCTGTGTCCTTTCATTATGCACCAGCTGCTCTTCAAGTATTAGTAGGTTGTGCAAAAGATTAAAGGATCATTATAAATTTCTAGGCAACGAACATAAAAACAACTGACATGTACACCAAAGTTAAAATTGCAAGTTAATAATTATTGACTTACCTGTAAGGGAACTCTGAGTGAAGTTATAGCTGCACTGAGGAATTTAAGTATGAATTCAACATTTCACATAGTAATATAGATTATGTTCAGTACTTCTATTCTAACCCATACTTGGTTACTTGAGTTAGTGCAAAGGAAGAGCTGCCTGTGAGTAGACCTAAGATGCTGTGCATAGAAGAAAAGTCCACAACACAAGTCTTGTCATAGTGTTCTTAAAGCTCCAGATTTTGTCTGTTTGCTCTCCTGAAGTGTTAATCAAATCCAAGTTAAAGATCTCGTGTGAAGTAGTGAACATACCATTCAACTTACCATGTCACCAAAATCCATTGGTTAGGTATAAGAGGAATCAGGCAGATATTTTGTTAAGAACAAACCAAAAATCCAATATAGTAATTCCATTTCTAGTTATTTTACCCCATTTGAAAGGTAAGGAAAAAGGCATCATCTTTTCCAAACCATCCTATGTTTTTATGACCTTTTTTCTATTTAATTTACCTTGTATAGTTGATAGCAATGTACTTCATTGGTTCAGTTTTGGATACCTTACTACCAATTTCCAGTATGTGCAGTTTGACTCAATAAGAGGAACACAATTTGAATTTACTAAAAATAAGGCTTATAATACGACTTGAAGGTTGACTGTAGCATTAGTATTCCTAGAAGAACAGTAAAAGCAGCTGAAATTCATCCTTTAGGCTACAAGCTGCACTGTATTTAAACTGCATGTGAAATTTTGAGCTCAGAAAAGAATAGTCACTCAGATTACAACAAAGGGCAATTGGCTGGAAGTTTTTTACAAGTATAAACAGAACTTTTAAAAATCAATAATAATAATTTGAAATTATATACAGAGTTCTGATATGTAGCTGATTTAGGTTACCACACTGGAATAGCTGAGAGAAGTATCCGAAATCTGAAGTTCAAACTTCTCTCCACCACAAAGCCCAGAGGTGTCACAGCAGCAATCTGTTCCACCTGTGCAGTAGTAATACCCCCAACCCCACCCTCTTTTAGTGGAGAGGATTCAGTTTTAGGTCCTGGGCAGTAACAGTGACCCTCTTTGCCATCCTCTGTTGTTCCTTACTGGTGTCCTAGGTTTGCCCTGTCCCTGGCTACTAACCTGGCTTGCCAACACTGATGGAACAGCAGACCTTTCAGTGGAACCCTGTGATTAGGATGGATCATGCTGTTGCCACATCTGGGTACCATCACCATCTAATGGATCACATCACAGGATAGAATTCAAGTACCTAGAACATCCTGCATGTGATACAGGAACACGTGCATTCACATTGCTGGACAAAGACATGAAATAGCATGTATCTTAAGGCCAGAATATGGATTTATTTGCAGTTGCTAATATTAAATATAGTATTTGTTCATTATTTTGTTCCATCCTTCAGATGGAGAACCTACAATAATTCTGACGTAAAGTTCTGTAAAAATGTAGTACTGGAGAGAAAAAAAAAAGTTCAATAGGAAGAATCAAAATTGATGGCCATGCCAAGACATTTAATCTTGTTTCATACACAGCCACCCCACTCCTACATTAAACTATAACTTTTGCATCCACTTCTGTCCACAGTTCCATAATAGCAATATTTTAGATAGTAACCATGCAGTCACCAAGAACTCTGTTGCTTTACCAGTGCCTTTATACATGTTAACCCAGTTGGAAGGTTGTGGTCAGCATGTCACATACACCATCACCCTATCTTCAGGAAGATGGATTTGCAAATTCGTAACGTTTCTTTTAGCTTTTGCGGAAGTAGGATCAAAAAGCAGCTAGCCAAAACCCAAAGAACATGGTCATTAATGGATCTACACACAAAGACAGTTCAGTGCAGATCTAAAAAAAGTTGATTATATAAATTGGTATTGACTTAATTACACTAATCCCGACATTTAGCAGTTGAGAGAAAACATTCTGACTGACTCTTACTATTGCAATTTTACTCAGATTTCACTGTTTCAGGAAACACTGCAAAGTTCTTTACTTAGTAGCTATGTTAATTCAAGACTTAATTATTACATATTAGCACCAACTTACCTATAAATACTACATACATTTCAGACTTAACCTTACATTATCTCAAAATCAGCCCCCACAGTTATGCTCAAAATAAAGGACTGTGCATAAAGTATTAATTTCCCTCCCACATTTTATTTAACAAATAGACAAATAGATACATAACTGTTAACAAAAGATATTAGTAAACGAGGACTTCCAGGCTCTAGGAAACTACATATAAGGAACCATTCACAAATGCTGCTAAGGTAGATCATGTCTACTACATACAGAGTTTCTTCCTATTGTTTCTATCTATCCTAGAATAAGATCTTTATTCCTACAGTGCTTACGTAGTTTGGAAATTAAAGATTAAGCCACAACAAAGCACGCATCAGGAAGAGGAGTGCTCATCTACATGGAATTAATCCAACTCTGCCATTGTTGAAATTCACATTCTCCCTAGATGATATTTACTTTCAATCAAATCGAAATGAAAGCAAGGATTTGTCTAGACTTCACTGTTCAGGAATCACTGATATTAGTCAGAATTACCATTGTTCTGTGTGCTCAGGAACCTCATCTTCATTCCAACCTGTTCATAATAACACACACATTAAAAACGGACGCAATTGTATACCTTCATGGCAACTGAGTTGCTCAGCCAGGCATATGACAAATGCTTGCATAGAGAAAATTATGCAACAGCTTTCCAACAGTAACTCCACTTTTCTCCAGACCAGTGGTTTCTTACCTACTCTGAGCAGAGGAAAAAGTCAGTACAGTGCCTTAACTAGTCATGATGCAAAATACCTGGCTTTCTGGGAATTCTACAAGCAACTTCAGTTTCTTATAAGGAACAAAGCAAGCTATAGTCCTTTAATGGAAAAAGCCAGGTTACTGATTTTTTAAACCTGTTTTTAAGTGATTGGTAAAGGTGCTAGACTGATAGCCCTAGAGACTATCATTAATCTATAGCACAGACAGCATTCCAAGATCCTCCACTATGTCATAAATCTCAAGGAATTGGTCCTAATGGGTTGAGTCCAGTAAGACTGTTATGAAAACACCACCTATGCTTAAATAAAGGATATGTTTAATAAAAGCAAAAAGGCAACAACAAATAATTAGGCTGTATTGCTCGAGGATACTATAGTTTTAAGCAACACTATCACAGCTGTGCATTCGAAGGCATATGGAAACAGAAGCAGAGTACAGTGCAAAGATGACGGGGCATTTTGCACACAGTGTAGTGTTAGGTAAAGACATTTCTTCACAATGCAGAATGAACTGAAATGAGCACAGCAGTTACATAAGCCATTCTGGTTTCAGGACCACCTGATCTTTTTAACTAACAAAGTTATTACAACTATTAGAGCAAGGAAGTTTGAAGACAGAAATTTCATAGGTTGAAGTTTTTGGCAGTTTAAAGCTTCAAAATCTGTTAACTGATATTAAGCAAGCATCCTTTTTCTTTTTAAGCAATCTCAGTATACTGCCAACGTAAAGTTCATCCTCGTAACAGCAAGAATCAAAAAAAAAAGATCTACACATGGACTCTTCTGCTTGCACAAATGCAGTTTAGTTTCTACCTAAATTAGCCTTAGAAGTTGTATCAAATGAAGACATGAAGGGACTTACTTTCATGCACACAGCTCCAAATGCAGTAAATGCAACACATTGCAATGCAATCAACTCATGAAATTAAGGAAAACCCAAGACAAAACATAAAAGCTGGTCTCGTTCCATGTCAAATGACATAACTAAGCAATTTTTTGTTCTCTTAGATCCCAGAATCAGGGCAAAATTCATGCATAAATGTTAGTTTTATTGTATCCATTTAACAATGTACGTTGGCAAAATCAGGTACTGAAGCTGTAATAACTACTAGATAAGCAAAACCTGCTACAAATGAAAGATAGAACAAAAGTTGCAAGCAGAGACATTAGTATTTTATCACTTACCTCATGGTGCAGCTCAGCTATCTGATCTTTCAGCTCTCTGATGTACTGGTTAGAATCAGATTTATTAAGCTGCCCTTGAATTTTTCCTTCTTCTTTCTGTTTTGGTTAAAGGAAAAAAAAAAATCTTACTCAAATTATTCACAGAGATACTGTATCAAAAACATTATTTTAACTGTTTACATATTTTTGTCATGAACAGAAGCTGTTTCCAGACTCTAACCAGTATTTTTCATCTGGCTGAAGTTACAGCAGGTTTCTAGGGGTCTCAGCAGCTTAGATCAAGTTGACCTTTTCAATACCAACCTTAGTACAGGCAGGATTCCATGGAGGAGCATGAAGAATAATGAAGCTCCACAAGTGAATTCACATCCAATGTACATGAGGCTGCATATGCAATTTAGTAAAGAATCCCTACAGAATGCTATCAATGTATGGAATGTATCTTAAGAGTGCATTATTTTCACTAATGTAGTTTTCTTTTAGTAACAAGGAATTTCCTTCATCTCCAAGTGACGAGTAAACATGTTCTTTCCTTGCATAGTAGGACATGCACTGGGAAACACTACATAGCACAAGCTTTCTTCTCCCATAAAAAATGTTGTAATATATAAAACATTGAGGCATTTATCCTACAGGAATTCCAGAGAGCATAAGTGAAGAAGGGTATGTCCCCCAGCAGCAATGCTGCAAGAGGTATAGAGAAAAACAGGCAAACAAAAAAAAGCCAGAGATGAAAAGGAATGCAAGATTTCCCTCACTTGTCAACCAGATGCAGCTCCTAAGTTTCAAGATGTCTAAGTAGGTGTCACCTGCACTTGAATGCCTGCAACACCAGCTTTCAGCTTGCCTTTAAAGGGAATCCTAATTTGACTGACCATAAGTGGTAGATCTGAGATAAATAACTACCCTTGATAGAGAAGACATCCAGCTTGCTACTAGTAAGTCAAGAGCAATGTTGTTGGGTTTTTTCCAGCTGAGAACAGAAAGCACCTTGATTTTGTGTAAATAATCTCTTGACTGTAAATCATATACAACCAATATACTACAGAAATACAAATATAATGGGAATATCTGATTTTTCTACCTGTAGCTCATTTTGTTAAAGTTTTAATCATACTTAGAGAAGCAAGGAGTTAATTTCAACAACAGGAAAGTTAAAAGTCATTCACAAACAGAATTTAAACACTTTTAGAATGAAAGGTGTTGACTGTTCCTCAAAATACAAGACAAAAAGCTATAATGGAGAGGTTCTTTCCAAAAATCCCTCTGAAATACCAGCACCAGGACAGAACGTGTACCAGGACATTAGGGGGATGGATAATATACCAGCTTTCCAACCCTTCGCTGCATGAAGGGATAAACCTTGAGCACTGTTAGTGTTGGCAATCTTGAAGCAATTTCTGTAATTTCAAGCTTTCTTTTTCTTGCAGCAAGGTATGCATTACAATATTACTTAAAAACTTTGTCATATTCATACTAATTCACAGAATCTGCAACACAGGCACAAGATCCTTTAATGTGTAATTCCATACTGAGCCTAGTTTCCAAGGCTCAAATTCACAAACACACACAAATTAACATTATTAATTGTTCCTGCCCTAAATAGGTAAAACATAAAGCAGGCCCCCATCATCTCCCTTTACAATGGTGACTATTGGTATTGGAGAAGCCAAAACAGAAGTGACACAACCTGCAGACTAAAAATACTGCTGTTCATACCTGTAGATAGAAGAAGTTTCATTGTTGTCAGAAACTAAGATTCCAGACAATGAGAATGACATCTCTTGTGGTAGCAGGAACATATAAGAGAAATGCATGTCTAAGTCTTTGTTCTCTGTTTGAAACCCTGACTTTCAATTTAAGCCTCTTATTCTATGGAGTCGGGATTACTACATAACCATATGCTACAGTATCAAAAAGCAAGAGTAAAGCAAGGTTTTACCATAAATAGAAGATAGTTATCACAGCCCTTTTAAAATGAAAGTGTAATAAATAGCTGAGCTTACATTCAAACTGAGTGCACAAGAGGACATCAAACTGGCATTCCCAAATCAGAATAAGCTAACAACAGAAGCAGCATCATTTACTAGCTTAAGCTTGGCACTGCACAAATAGCTGAAAGCTGCTACTGTTTACTATACAGAGCATACCATATTGTGAGTTATACACTTTCATTATATTTAAGTGGGTTTCTTGTTACTTTTTATTCCATAAATAACACTGTAAAATTATTGCAGATATTGCAGAATAATTTGACATACGTATTTGCTCATGGAAGAATTGACTCTAGCTCCAATCAGTTGGAGCTGAATGGAAGGCATAAGCCTGGCTTGCAAGATCCTCATTATTAGTGAAGGGCAAGTAAGATTTAGTTTTCATTTCAGAACTACAGATTTTGTAGAGCTCAGAATTCACAAAAAACACACTTAACACAAAAAAGGAACCCTACAGTGGCATTTTATACAAGCATGCTTAAGGAAAAAGTCATGCTGTAACTTCCTCTTGCAACATTAGGAACACTAGAGGTCAGGAGCTGATCCTTCTAACTGGCTGCAACAGAAATGAGGTATTTCTAGCTAACTAAATAAGCTATTTAAAAGTTCTATAAGCTACAAAGTCTGTCTACAGTGGATAAATTCAAAGGATGACATATAAGAAATTTTAGGATGAGGTGTAAGAGTCATCTTCACAGCTGTTCATCTCTCTGAGCAAAGATAAAATTCTACCTTTTTCTTCTTAAATAAGCCAAGTTGATCACACTAGTAATGTAGTTTTTTTAAGACTCATGCAGGTCCAGCAGCAAACCACTGGAAAACATGCAGGGGTCAGACACTGTAGCGTTAAAATATTTTTAAATTCTTACCAAAATAATCTAATTTAGAGAACAAATAAGTAGACAGCTGAAAGTTTACATATTTCAAATGAACCCAAGTAGTTACCTATTACTGATTATCATAAAAACTTAGTTCTTACTGTTTTAATCAAGTGTTCTTAATATCATCCTAGAGTCTCTAAGGAGTATTGTCAGCATGCGTGCATCTTGAGACTGAAAACCTCTACCACAGCAAAACAAACCCTACATTCTGCCCCCATGCAGGTTAGATTCCCACTTTTACATCTAATTCTGGATGACACTAGATTAGTACTATATAACACAGTTATATGCCACTGTGATTGGTGAAAGCCCTGGAGACAGCAAGCACACTCATGCTCCAAACATTTATCAACACACATGGAAACTGCACAAAAGATTTAATATCTTAACTAAGAAACCTTGAGTAGCTTCAGCTTGGATTTGTGTTTCAAACATAATACCAAACTACATAGATACAATTTCTAACTCTTGAGACCGATCTAGTCATGAGGTAACTGACATTAATATCAGTGTTACTATTTGTTTGGTAATGTGAATTAAACTTGACCAAGAAACAGAGGGATGGGGAATTAGCTAGGTAATGAGTGACATCAAAGTGGGACAGAAACCAGGAAGTAAAGACACAACAGGTAATAGAAGTGAAACAAAGGAAAGGACCTTAGACACTAACACTGATGGATTCTTGCAGATTTCATCTTCAGCCTACTATCTTCAGGATATGGCTGTTGCATTTATTTAGTTAGCTGATGTACTGCAGGGCAGCTGAAGATAATAATCTTCCAGGAATAACTACCAGCTCTTTATCATTCATTTGCTTCTCTGGAGATGTGTGCTTTCCATTCTTCCTTACAATACCTTCCATACTGTAAGGTATTAGACAGTCCCACTAATATAAGATAAATGAAATTTCTTTCATGTAGCTTGAATTTAATTGAATGCTTCCTATTTTAGCATTGGTTTTAGTAGGAACCAGGCATTTACCTCTGCATTGGTTTTATACAGTGCTTGAGTAGTTTTGTACTTATGTTTTATACTCAGGTCAACTGTACTAGGTCAAAAGTAAATGTTAAAGACTCCACTTATAATTACAAGTCTTTAATGAATGAACATCACACCTTTTACAATGAAACAGCATAAGCAATTGGTGACCTCTCTCCATGTTTGGTTTGTTGATTATTTATTTTTAACCTAAGATTATACACATAGCATGTGGGCTGTTGGTTTGGTTTTGGTTTTGAGGGGGAGCACTATTATAGAAAATCTGTGGTATTTGGGGAGGTCACAACAACAAAGAATAGCTGATCTCTAGGCAAATAATAGTCATTTTGAGTTTAAAATTAACATACAGTGAAAAAGCCAGACAATATATCAATTAGCAAAGTGTGAGTATTTTCACAATAGTAAAATAATGAAAGCTAGCCAATTCTGCAATCTAGAAATTGTTTAAAAACCCCTGCAGTCATATTTGATTTAATCCCTATATCCATTTCCCTGCTTCTGCATCCTGGCCCCACTGCAGTGACTACCTCCTCTTCCCAGATGGGGTTTTTAGAAAAGTAATGCCAGTTGGTGTCACACTGTAATTAAAGATCCATCATCTTGTGTTGCTGCTTTTGAAGATTAATAGCTGCCCCCAGTCTTATGGTCTCTTCCAACAGACCAACTCCTCTAGCACCAACAGCGTTAGGAAACCTTCTATCAGGCAAGCAAACACCCTAGTGGCCAGGTATCACCTCTGCTCAAAGAAAAGGTGCTTGTTAACAGAGTAGAAAGCCAATACACAATCCAACCTCCTGTCTCAGGGACTGTGTATAGCGAGGGAGTAGCATGGGCAGCAAAGCAGGAAGTGAGCCCTAGAGATCAAAAAATAGGTGCTAAAACAGAATTCACTTAGGCCCCTTCAGTTTTGGAAGCTCTTACCTCTCATCCTGCTCATCAAGAACTACAAAGTGACTGTACTTGCATGCATACCAGAAGTTACACCAAGAGCTCCTGAGAAAATCTGTTCCCCAAAAATTTGCTTCTTAGAATGAGGAAAAATCCTGCCCACCAAAAAGTATTAGTTGAGATTCATGGTTGTCATCATGCTTAAATCTTTGGCTTTCAAAGAGAAAACCAGCTTTTCTGTATCTTCAAAAGCAGCAGCAGCTAGTTTCAAGAAACATACCTAACGCCTACTGAGAACTACTGAGCATGTGGAGACATTCCAAACTCAAGTAACATAGAACCAGGATTGCACATCTGGCAACACAAGAGTGCAGGGATAGACTGTTTCAAGGAATGCTGATCTTAAATACCTGAACCATTACTGTATAGTATCCTCCAAAAATCAAGTACAGTAGTCAAACCAAAGTTTAAATAACAAATAAATAAATATACACTGGAAACTTCCTGGAACTCAATGGAGGCCCTAAGCTTGCTTTTGCTGCTCAACCAAGGTTTAAATATAAGAAACAGAAGATCAGTGTAATCAAACTTCAGTTGCAGGTGTTTCATCCCAAGAGGAACACAGGCACAAAGATTTCTGTAACACTCTTGATGGTCAGATCAGAGTAGGAAAAGAGATACACACGAACAAGAAAATAAGCCATTTTAAATTATCAGAAAGCATCTAGGATTATTTTCCCTTTATTAACTGTGAACTTAACACAGAGAGAAAAAACCCCAATGCTTTAGGCAGCCAAAATCCAGGCACACCAGACCGTTGCTGTTCCTCAGGTGACTGTATATCATCTTTACTAAAAATGTCTAGAGGGTTGGACATTTCCTTAACACCCTTGCTTTGATCTTTTCTTAGAAATATTTACTTGGTAACAATCTGCCTCAGCCTCTTTTCAGAGGAGGCTTTTAAAGTCTTACTCTGTGGCAAAAGACACTGCATTAAAAATGTAAATGAAGTTTATTCAAAAGGGTAAATGTGGTAACTAGTGTCCTTTCAGTGACTTTACAGTGACTCATTCTAGACTTTCAAAAAACATCACTAACATCACACACTACTATTGATAAGAGTAAAAAAAAGTTTCCTGTAATTTGAAAAGATGGAAACAATTTCTCTACCCAACAGTCAGTACTTGGAAAAGTTATTAAACAGAGGTCATAGAAAGGCTTCATTCTAACGAAATAGTGCTAAAAGTTTAAACTGTGGGGGAGACAACTAGCACAATCATGGATTTCCTTTACAGTTGTTCTCAAAGCAGCTTTGACATGGTTAGAGATAGGGTAGATGTGACAAAATTCTCTGAATCTGCCAGGAAACACATCAGGAGGAAGTGATGGTACCCCCTGTACAGATCCACGTAAGCAAGAGAAGAACGAATTCTTATAGATAGTTTTCACTTTAAGATTACTCAGACCTGAGCAGGGTTTCCCTATATCACAAGTGTGCTCTGTACTTCTCCAACCCAAACCAGCCATGGATAATTTTAAGCCATGGATAATCAATAATTTGATGAAATGTCTTGCTTGAATCTTGCTAAATAATTCCAAGTCACATTTGCTTCCCAAGGGTTTTATAAGCTGAACTGCAAAGTAAGAAAAAAGTAAGGAGACAATGGAGGAGGAAAAGGTTGATAAAGTAAACCTTTGTTTATACATAACTTCAGGGTTTTTCTTTATCACTTCTGGGGCTTAGTTATATGCAACCCAAGCTAAACTTCAGTTTGTTGGGTTTTTTTTGTTATTTTTGCTAAGGAATGATTTACACAATATACATCATGTATTGAACTATTCCTTGCACTTCAATATGCTTAAACAAAAGTTTAAAAGCTTAGGATCAAGAACTGAATGCCTGACCAAGATGACATTCAGAATATATAAAAAAATAACTTCCTTACATCACAATAAACTGAGATCTTGCTGCATAGTTACATCGGCTGTTAAATGATAGAGTTCTATCTCCTTCTCTGTCATTATTACTAACCAAACCTACGAGCAGCACAGAAACTGTGATTTAAATCTAGCATTTGTGCATGTAACGTCAGATCAGTTCTTATGTGGGAGTAGTGATACTCTGCATTACAAATTTAACACCCGTGTCTTGCACTTACATCAACATTTAAAAGAAAACTACACGGTTTAGGTTAAGCATTGCTATGGACCATGTGGACTGGCACTAGATCTCTAGAGCTTCTTAGAAAAGCACCATCCCTCTCAAAAAAAGGAAGGTTATGTGGTGAGTTAACTTCCTCCATCTTTATCAGCTTTGAAACAATATGACCAGCAGACTTACTTGTGATTCTCTGTGTTAAAAGTACGATTACTTTGAGACCCACACTCCAAGACTAGCCGAATGTATTTATGGTATTAAACATTGCATTTCAAGTCATCAAGGCAAATCAAGATTTAAAGGCCCTCTTCTCACCACATCAGGTCATAGCAATTCCAGTGACAAGCTGAATGGAACAGAATGCTCTTTCTCCAATGAGGAAGAAGCTATTTTAGATTTTCAACTTCCTTAAAAAGCAGCTTTGGTTTATAGTTTACAAGCTTTGGGAGTTACAGCTTTCCAACTCCATGATTACCTTTTTTGGTGCAGGTGTTTCAGAGGCCTTTGAGCATGAGTATCCAAAAAGGAAGTTTTGGTCATAAGTTTCATATTTGCTGGCAAAAACACTGGTCAAAAATATGTTTGTTTACAGAACCTTACAACAAACAAAAAACCTAATTGTCACAGCCAAATAAAAGCATTTCAAGTCACATCTAGAATGGCACAAATAAGTAAATTGATGTTAGAGGAACTTATTTCTACCAAATCACTTTTGTTTTAAATGTCTTTATGTGGTTAACAACCAAAACCTGTATTTCACAACTAAAGAAGTTATATTTCAGGCTAGTACAAGTTTGAGATGAATAGTTCACCAAAAGCCTAACAGGGCAAACTCATTAAATTAGAAACATGAACCACAGCCACAGAATGACTTCATACTGCATACAAAGAAAGCACAGCCATTCTCATTTGTGCAGAAAATAAGGAAGCTTACTAAAAGACTGAAGATCAAGAAATCAAACAAAAAAAAAAAAAACAACAAAAAACCCAAAGCCACCTAGAACATGAGAAAATGGAAAAAACATAACTAAAGATTGCATCATGCAAAGCAGTAATTGTGAAAACAAAGGAAGGATGATGCAGAACAACCAAACATGAGACAACGCAGTATCATAACAAAAGAGGGGCAGCATAATCTTTGGATGTATTAGCCCAAGTCATGAAATAGATTACATTCCTGCACTTCTTTACCTGTCTTACAACAAGGTATAAAAATTTGCATGAAATTCTGGCACCCATAGCTTAAGCAGAAATATGGAAAGGAACAGGAGAGAGCTGTGAAATGACTGAGCACTGGTGATTTGATCAAACAGAAAACCAAGTCAGATGTATTTACATTAACAGATGAACACAATTCTAATTGGGCAACGGCTATCAGAAGAAACATTATGTTCATTATGGGGTTCACCATTTCTTCATTTCATAAAATCAAGACTAGAGTACTTTTGGGGAGACCCACATCAGTCAAACAGTGGAAGCAGGATGGCAGCTAAGTCATTGCTAAAGGAAAATAATGCATAATGAGCACTGTTTCCTCGCCTACAAACTCATGTTGTTTGAAGCAACCTTTAAACCTTTTTCTTTGTTGGGTATTTTATTTGGTTTTTTTTTTTGTTTGGCCTTTTTTTGGTTTTTAGTAAAATCTAAAACATGAGTAGAACAGTGACCTAAACTCAGCTACTCTCTTATCTTCCTAGATGATAAATGATTCATATGCAATGCTTACTGTACTCAGCTAAGTATTTCTAATGTACTGATCACAGCATCATCTCAGTGTTAGGTGATTAAAAGACATGATTCCTTTGTCTTTTAATAAATTTACTGCCTGCTGCACTAGAAAAAAGAATACTCAAAGTGAAAATTCTTTTTGCAAGCTCTGTTAAATTTATTTGTCCATTCCATATATGAAGAGATGCAACAGATGCTGAGAAATCACAGGAAAAGAAGGCTTTGACACAACACAGTAAAATCATCATCTTGAAGGGAAGATTTTAGAGGGAAGAAAGACACCAGCAATACCAGTTAAAAATAAAAGTAAACTAGAATAATAACTTGTAATTTAGAAATAATAACCAAGAAAACCTTTGAAGATAGGCACAGCAGAATTCAGACAGGACAACAGTATATGAAGGATAGATTACAGTAAGGCATCATGATTTCTCAAAGCCAAGAAAACATAAACAGTCATGTCTGGTTCTCATCAAGGGACAGTGAAAGCTCCAAAAGGAACTGAAAGCACAAGGAACAGCACGGAGGCCAAAGGATGCATCTTTAGATCCTACAGTGATATGACAGCAGTAAATAACGTGTGTAGTTTCAAGATTTACATAAAGGGAGTAAGAGTTTTACAACAAATCTTCCAATGCTGGTCATAGTAGAAGAGGAGTAAGCACAGAGAAGAATTGTTGCTGGAATCAGGATGTGTGCATTTTTTATTTTTTGGGGGACAGAGAATGTTTTTAATCTAATCTATTTATCAGCAAAAATTACCAATCATGGGACAAAAAGAAATACAGAAATCAGTTTCACAGTGCATTGCCTGTAGCATAGTACTTGCACAGAAGAAATTATTAACAGCTCACAAGTCTGCCTCTAAGATAGATTTCAGGCCTTTAATTATAAAGGAGGCCCACTCAGGAAGATAGCATTATCCCAATTGGCAAAGCAGAGCATTGCATTCAGAATAGGTTAATAAGGAAAGAAAGTGGAAGAAGAAAAACAACCCCACTAATACAGAAGTTATCAGCATCAGGTTCCACATTTAAGGCCATCAGTTGTTACCTGGATTTCTAGTTCAGCAATATGCTGTTGGAGCTCAGCCACAGCTGCAATGCGGTCTGCCTCACGGAGCCGGACTGCCATCACCTCTTCTTTACTCTGAAAGAAGTAACAGATTGAAGCTAACAAATAATATCAGTTTCAGTTAATTAAAGACAGTGCCGTGCTTTTACCCAAACTCATGTCAGTAAAGAAAACTGAATATACTGCTGTGTGAACTACCACACCAAGTGACAAGGCATACTCTAGAGAACCCTAATTTAATTTTAACCAAAAGAACTGCATAATCATCTAATATCAATTCTAAATTACAATAACATCTATTAAAAAAAAAGTATAGTTTTGAAAACATGCCATTATAGATTTCCAGGGCCATAAAAAATTGTCTTGTGTTCCAGAAATGTTGATTGTAAATTAAGAAAAAGTATCAACATACAAAACCCCAGCTCATGCTTCAACTTTTGACTTCATGTATAAACAAAACTACACAAGTTACCTATTTCATTATTCTCTTTATAAAAAAACCAACCCCAAAACCAAACACAGGAGCACAGATGTTCTCAATCTTGTCTAAGTCCAGGTGTCTTAGTCACAATATACAATAAAGATTTGCAAGACAGTTTAGAATAAAATTCTAATGTCTGTAACCTACTATCAGACTCCTGATGTAAGTTTAACCTGTCAGTTATAATGACAGACAAGTCGAGTTTTGATAACAGAAAAGGATATTTCCTTATTTCTGTTTTATGAGGCAAGTCCTCAAAACTTCAGAGCAAAAAACAACAGCAGAGAAAAAACAGTGATAGATACTGACTTAGGAATACTTTCAGATAGAATATAAGTAATTCTGGGGAAGAGCCAGACTAGGTCCAGGTACACGTACTTTTATGGCAGACTGATGTAACTGTGCAAACTGTAGTTACTGTACATCAGTTCCAGTATTTCAGTTATTTTAATATGTGCTTTAAACTAATAGTACTTAAACACCCTTCATTAGACAGTTTGGTTGAGACTGAATTGAATATGCCAAAGCTTATCTATAGTAGCTACTTGAAAACATGCTGTTTGTTTTAAAACAGTGGTTCCTGCAGTGAAGGCACATCATCTACATAATCCAATTAACAGCATTTGTAATCAGTGGAGTCCATTTCAGAGGAACCCATCATGTGCTAACTCATTATTGCTAAATTCTGCTGCACAATTACTTGAATGAAGCCAAAACCACAAGTCCACAGGATTGCATGTATCTAACTGAAAGCTGAAGGACAGACTGGCTTGGTTTGACTTTGATATCTGAAGTCAACAATGTTGCTCTAGATGGCAGTGATGCTTTCTCTCTGAAACAGAACATGTTCTCAATAATTACCACAGAAGTTGATAAGGTAGGAAAGACAAGACCAGGGTGGGGGCACAAGTCTGATGTTGCAAATTCTTTGGCAAAACCAATTAGAAAACTCAGTGCTGTGTTTCAAGAAACAATATGAAATTAAGTCCTTCCTGTAGAAGCAGTCATCAGATAAAACACGAAAAACAACACTACACACCAGTGATAGTTGCCATATAGGTGTTATGAGGTGCAATTACTTCAAATATTTTAATTTCTACATATGTATTTTAAGCTATCCTTTAAACAAAAATTCAGGCTGCAGAAATAATGTACCAGTTCTGCATACAGAAAACAACTGGGGATTCGAAAAATCCAAATAGATATTTTTTTGATATACCTCTTCAAGTAGAAATATTTCTATCTAGCCAAGATACAGTGACAGAAATAAAACTAGACCATGATTTCAGATTCTTTGAAACAATAGGAAGAAAAGTCAAACACGAGTTTCTCATGGAATCAGGAATAACAAACTTGCTAGATTTAAGATGCAAGGTGGAAGTTTTAATATATTTAGTGCTAAACAGTTAACATTGACCGTATTACTCCAAGACATTACCTGAAAGACTACTGAAACTTTCTTCATCAGTTTTGAATACGAAATTGTTGTATAAGTAACATAAAATAGCTTTATTTCAGGTATTTACACAGCAGTACTGCCTTTTCAATTCAGCCTACCTGCTATCTGTACTTCAAGCCAAATCTAAGTTGGTAGCAACACTATTTAGTGAAGTTACAGACACTGAACCTACTTTGGGAAGGACTGTAGGTATGACAAGTCTGCTGTTACTGCTGGAAGCTAGCCCTTCACACTTTTAACATACCTTACATAGTAGCCATAGGACACTGGTTTCTCCAACACCAAGTTAGTATAAAAAAGCCAGTAATGTTGCAAGGTTTGGGCTTGATAAGATAACAATGTTTCTCCTTCCGTTTGAAACTTCAGCTTTTATTTTTTTCTTTCAATTCACTTCAACATTAAAATCTCATTTTCCTGACACAGTGAAATACCCTAAAACAATCCCAAGCAAGAATTTCCTTCATTTATTGTGGTACAGAGGTGAAAGACAGGAACCTAAACCAGTCTCTTCTATAACGAGAAAAAGTGAAAGTGTTTGGCATGAATTTTAGATTAAGCTAAATGACAATCCTTACAAATCAACTGTCAAAGGGCAATGGCTTTGTATATCCTTTCATTTTTCACTTAACTGTGAATTATCATTGAGTTTGAAATTGAAAACTATTTCATAAGTTTGAAACAGCAAAAGGAAACTCAACACCAAGTTATGTCCCATTTAAGGAGCAGGAGAACACTTAAATGTGTAAGCATGGCTTAATTTTTTTTGATGTCAGCATTCTCATTAAATCTGTACAACATAACTGAAATGGTTGCATAAATTAGAAAGTCAAGTCACTACAACAGTTCACAACAAATGTCAAGGGTAGAGGGAAAAGGGAACATGAAGGGAAACTACATTGAAGAAAGGTAGGTTCCAACAAGTTAAATTTGAGCATCTTTCAATGCAGTCAGCAGAAAAACCTTGTGCATTTATACAGTACAAGAGTCTATATGGTCTTATACTAAGTCTCATCCCAAGAAGTCACAATGTAGCTCACAGGTAAACACTAGAGCTCTAGGTTATTTACATACAAATTGGTGCTATGTCTTTTTATATCATAAACATCCACTTGGAAACTAATTTCAACTGTCATCTTTTTCCTGTTGGTGACTGCAAAACAAGTTGCAGGATATAACGTTAGTGTAAGTAAGTAAATATCACTACTTCACCAGCTATTGCCCACTACTACTTTCAGAAAATCTCTAAAAAATATGGTTGGTGCTCTGTCTACTACTATCACACTTTTTTCTAACCCATAGTAGAACGTAACTTTCCAAGCAAATTATCCCAGTGAGAAAAGCCATTAGTCAGCTTAAAGACATACTACTCTTTTTAATCAACATTAAAACTTCCGAATATTGACTACATCCTCTTAATCTCTTAAGGGTTACTGAGGGACCTTCAGTATCAAAAAGCAATCAAAGTTATGAGTAATATGAAAAAACATGTCATCGAGGCAGTGAATAATGGAGAAAAAAAATAACCGAAAGGAATAATCTCAGCATTAAGAACAGAGAGCACTTAGGAAATCAGCAATTATGGTAATCAGAAAAGTCAGTAGAAGCAATTTCTTCTAGTTAAGATTCAGTGTCTTGTTTCCTAAACAAGATGTGGTAGAGTTTGAAGAGTCAGAAGTTAAATGTTTTAGATTCAGGTTCCACTGGAAACAAATGGAACTGGCAAGACAGCAAGGAAAATGAAAACCTAAAGAAAGCTGAAATACCTGGAGTACACCTCAGTTACTTACTGTTCTTAGATTTCTTTAAAATGGAACTGACAACAACAACAAATCAGGAATGAGATATTATAGCAAAACTATGGACATCAATAAGGCTGTGATTTCATCTCCAGGCTGGCTGACAGTGATAAACCACTCAAGCTACAGTCTTGATTTATACTGCCCACAGAAACGTTAGTTGGAATTGCAGTTAACGCAGTCTTTGGATTATGTATGTGTGTTACAAGCAAAATGTATGTATACTGGATAGAACTGAAAAACAAACACTCAACTAGTAACAGTGTTCTGCATGGATAAGAGTAGGAACAAGCAGTGCACATACAAAGGTTTTGTTATCATTAAAGTCAAAACTAAGATGTGATCAGGAACAACAAACTATGTAAGAACTGCTTTCAATTTGCCAATTCACAATCACAGTTTAATAAATAGTATTCCAATTATTCATCTCATATTACAGTACTATGTTTAGCTTATAAGTATCCTCTTTAGAAATTACTGATTGTTCAGCACTAGCTAATTTCATAAAAGACTAATCATACATGTTTTGGAAGTAAGTATAAAGTTGATTCATGTCTCTAGCAAATAACGACAGGGATTTGTTAACTAATACTACTTTTCTCTTTTTTTTTTCTTTTTTTTTTTTTTTAAGTAAATTCAGCAGCAATTTCAGGAATATTTTCAACCAAGAGGAAAAAAAAAGCTTAAGACTTATCTTTTATTTCCTGTCCACATTATGTGTGCACAAGTTAAAGACATAAGTTATTAGTAAAAGGTTATGGATTTAGTTACAAAGATAATTAAATCCGAGATTCAAACACCAGACCGGGCTCTTCTGTGCACTGACAGTAATAAAGCCAACTTTTGCCCAGTGGCTTTGGGCTGTCCCCTTAAAGTCTAGTTACTATTAGGCAATGACTAGTGTAACACTCCCTTCTCTCCATTCAAATAACACTTGTACTCCCTTTTTTTGAACCTAAACTAATTCTGCAGTAATAGTCAGCACTGAAGTAATGAACCTTTTCTGTCACTAAAGACAGAATCCACAGTTATCAGAATCTGTTGTGGAAAAGTGTCTTTCTATATATTATACACAGACACTTTACTGAGCAGAACCACACTTTAAAGTTTATCTTTCTGGGACCACAAAGAAGTAGCTCTGTCAAAACCTCAAGTGATTTTTGTGAGATGGTAAATTCAGTATGACACTGTCAAATGAGTTAAGAGAAGTTTTGGGTTTGTGATCTCTGCTCAATGAAGACAATTCTATCCAACAATAGCAGACAAGACTACAAAGCACATACACATTAGCACACAAACAGTCAACATTGTGAATAAATATTGTTTACCTTGCATTCAATCTCTGCTTGTCTACGTTTTGCTTCATTCAACTGAGCAAGGAGTCCTTTGTTCTGTGCAGAAAGATACTGTACCTTCCCCTGTAAGTTGGTAACCTCCTGCTCTGCCCTTCGTAAGTGGTTACTATTGATCTGATTCTGAAATTTATGACAAAAAACAGAAAGAAAATGCATGTTAAGGAAAGATCTTTGATATTAATTTAACTCCTTAAAGTCTGACAAGAATGACTTATAGATCATTTACTATAAAAAACCTTCTGATGAAAAAGCATTCAGAATTTTCTAAATGTAATCAGAAAACTTTGCATGACATTTGGTTTATGACCATGACATTCAAATTGTCCTTAAACAACAGATGACTCATTGTAAAAACATTACTGCAAAGCATCAGGTATGTCAGAAATACTATATGCACATTTCTCTGTCCAGTGATTTCCTGAAAGTAACGTGGCACCTTAATTGAGATCACTGCATTAGTACAAGTCACACCAATTTTACATGAAGCTGTGCATAGACCAGTACATTACACGAAAACCAACGACCATCTGTCACAGAATCATAGAATCATAGAATAGTTAGGGTTGGAAACGACCTTAAGATCATCTAGTTCCAACCCCCCTACCATGAGCAGGGACACCACACACTAAACTATGTCGCCCAGCTGAACAGCATAAGTATGTACAAAGACTTGATGCATTAACACTGAAGTGAGAAGTAACTAAAAGGTCTTGCGACAAGTAATCCAGACAGCAGGATACCTATGCCCCCTACTGACTAAAACAAACACACAGAAAGGGAAAAAGCAACAAAAGCCCATGTTAACCGTAGTGAAATAGCATTAACACTGCAAGTAAAATTTTAAAAGTTAAGGTCAGAGAAAACTTTCATCCAGTTGGTATAGAGGAAGTGGTGCCTCTGTCAGAAATGAACCGCTGTGTTCCTTGCAGTTAGCTCATCTGCCTGGCACATCCTTACACACTCTCCTGGTTTCTGGGATTGCTGAAGCTTGCCAAATACAGCTTTTGCTTGTTTAGTCTTTTCAATGCACAGGCTCCTTCAAGTAACAGTTACATTTAGCAGGTATTTCATGGGAAGGTTTCTCAAAAAAGCCTGCTACAAACCCCTTCTCAACAGCACATTATGCTTATGGATTCAGTTGAAAGTTCACTAATACAATATGAAGTCACCAACAACCTATTCCCGAGTTAGCTTTTTGGCAGACAAGTTATTTTTGTCTTATCTGTACAAATCTCAGCAATAATGAATCATGCTTTTCTTTTCTGGCACATGAAAGGTAAAGCTTCTGCTAAAAACTGCCTGGCAACGCTCAGCTATTTTGCTGAGAGTTCACAGTTTAGTAATGAGATTCATCACCTCAATAGATAACCTAGCATAGACAATTTCACCAGAAGAAAGAAAATACTACCATTTCAAGAATTAGAATTGCTGTTATCAGAATTATCAATTAGGTTTGTGAAATTTAAAACACTTTAAAAACACTTTTGTTGTTAGACCAGTTACAATTTAATGAATTACAATTCACACACATTTTCAGAGTCTACCAATTAGTCCAAGTGAGAAATTCAGGAAGTCCTGGAAAAGATTAAATAAGAGACATTAAAGTAAGTTAGACCGTATGTACTAGAGTCTCCTTGCTAGCCTAAAGGCATTAAAAAACACATTTTGGAATTAAAGTCATGCCTGTAGATGGTAAAGTTCACCTTTACCATTTGACACCAATCTGCCAGCATTCAGCTCCATTCATACACGCTAGTGTTCAGTAACATACCTGTGTTTCCATCTCCATCATTCTTTGTTTGGTCTCTTTCAGTTCAGCCTGAGTTTCCGCTTCTCTCAATCGGACTGTCATCAGCTCATCCTGTAGCTCATTCACTGTGTTTTTTCTGGGGGGATCTTTCCATCTTCCAGTGGTACGAGCTAGATGACGCTGAAAAAAAAGCATGCCATTGCTGACAATGCCTGATCATTCCTGAAGTCCCCTTATTTCATTTAAGATCTCAGTTTCACGAGACCAGTTACCATTGTGCTCCTGTTTGTCCTAAAAACTAGAAACCCATGCAAACTTACCAGCTTTAAGAACAGACAATTAAAAAACTGAAGGCAGTCATTCACAACTACAGTCAGTCAGTGAATTGCAAGAATAACCCAAGACTTTTACCTCTTTCTAGCCCTTATTAACATGTAGTGAAGTGGTGCCAATCTGGCACTGCCTTTCTACCAGAACGATTAGCTGGCAGTACAGGCTCTCTGCCATCTGTAACAAGGAATCAATTTCTAACATACTTTTGAAGTAAAGTTTCCTGTGGCAGCTGCATCTAAACATTTTCTCACCTCAGCAACTTGATCTCTACATCTTGAAATTATGCTTATCATTCACTGAAAATAAAAGTTGTTAAAAGCATATTGCTACCCATACCTGCCAGTGTTCCTCCAAATCTTTGACTTGTTGCCTTAGTTCTTTGAGACCCATCAGAGCTTCTGCTTCTCTTAATTTTACTGCAATCAGTTCTTCTTGTAGTCTAGCAACATTTTCCTCATCAGGGAGCGAGCTGTTCCTCTGCAACAAGGACCATCTTCTTAAATATGCATTTGAATAGATTTGTGCTTAGCGAGACCCACACCAAGGATACAGACATGGAATAATAACTCTTCTTACTAACCAAACTTGCTTAATTACACATCCTCTGCAAAATAAAAGCCTTCAAAAATCTGAGTTCCTGGATATAGCAAGGGTGTACAAGTATCTTCCAGCATCCAACTACAGAAAAAAAAGTTGGCAAGGTAGTTTCAGGTATTCTGACTTGCAGATTTCCCTGACTGGTATCCATAATAAAACATTATTCACACTATTTTGCATAAGGCATCCAAAATATGGTGAAAAGTCTGAAAGATTTTGAGCTAGTTGATAAAATTAAAGCAAATTGATACCTTTAGAGTTATAACTTTTATTTAGACTTACAGGAAATTTATTTTTTGGGAAGCCACCTGTCTTTGAAAAGGAGAAAAGATATATTGACAAAGGAACCATCCGTTAACATTTATAAACAACCACCAGTCAAGAAAAGGCCTTACAGATGAAAATGCATGGATGTTTACAAAAATACACGAGGAAAAAGTAGAAAGACTAAAGAAAGCTAAACAGAAAACAGGAAAACACAAGGCAGGAGTGACCTGGGGTAAGTTAGACAGTGATGAAAGCGTAATAATGAAAGTCTGGGAAAAAACAGAAGGAAGAAAAGGGACACAGTCTGCCTAACTATCATAATCCTACATCAAATCATTGGTCACCAAATACTCAAAGTTGAACTGTGCTTCACCCCTTTCTACTGTGTTTCTCAGTAGTAATTTTCAGCAAAATGAAGTAGTTATATCTATATATATGTAATACTGTGACAGTTGCCAGGTCTTCTGAGAGTCCAGAGTAAAGCACATTATTTACAGAACAGCACGACAGCCATTTATGAACAATCTCCATGTTTCAAAATCATGGGATCCAAGTACTGGCAAATATAGGAAGTGGCTGTGTCTCTGAATGTTCACATCACTGTCAGTATAGCCATGCAGGTCTTGGGTTACAAGGCAGAATCTTCCCAGGTTACATGACACATCCCTAACAGCGGTAAAGAGCTGTATTTGTAAGAATTTGAGAGTTAATTAACTTGGGTCATTTTCTATGTGCCTAAGTTCATTACAACAGACTGTTACTAGCATACATCTGTGTTTATCTGCTACCTTGGAATCTCCCCCACTGCTCCAGTTTCTCCTTCACATTTAAGTTTTTGGTGTATGCTATGTTCATGCTGATGAAGGTTAAGTGAAGAAGTAGTCTCTTTCTGAACTTGGAAAAATACGTTAGATACCCAATTCTTACCAATGGTCAGTACAGTAAAAACTTCCAGACCATTAGCATGCCAGCCTAACGAGCCCCTCAGATATAAAAAGAAAAATCTTTATTCCAGTGGGTTAATCTAATTATCTAGTAAGTTCTGGCCACATTGCTGAGTATACAGCTCTAAAATTTCCATGAGGAAACAATTTCCAAACCCAATACAACAGGATCTGAAAACCATGCTTTATATTGCATCAGTGTCCTGGGTTTAGTCAGTTAGTGTGATTTTTCTTTCCTTTTCTTCTATTTTATTTTTCATGTAAGTTTTTCTTCAAAGGAAGGTAAATGTTTGATGGTTGGTTTGAGTACAGCTTGAACTCTGGCATCAGTAAGTCACAAGCTGGGACGGCACCCAAAAAGCAGTAGAGATTTTGATACTAAACAGTGGAGGTGTTCTTTCCCTGCTCATAATGGAACAAACTGGGAGACACTCAAGAACTGGGAATGCTGAACTCCTTCCTCCTCCCGTCCTGATCTATTTAGTTTCACATCACCTCAATACTCACTGTAAGCCTACTGCTCTTGTTGCAAGATAAAATTGAGGCAATTGATGTTTTCTGCAAAGACTCCAGCAGAATTCAAGTTTTCCACTGCAGTGGGCTTCAGTAACAGAAAAGAAGTGATCTGCTCTTCACAAACCTTACCAAGTGCAGACAAACCTTAGGTTTTTTTTTGCTAGATTAACTTCAGGTTTGAAAAGCATCTTACAGCCATGAAAACATAGAAGAGAAGATTTGAGAGCACAGTTATGCAAAGAATTACAGGGACCTGTATTCTGTTTCTAGTGTTATTTTATATAGAGGGTCCTGGTTTGATTTACCTTTTCCATCTCTAGAACTTTATCTTGCATCTCCTTCAGGGCACAATGGGATTCTGCTTCACTCAGCCTGGCTTGGACCAACTCTTTTTCCAGCTGTAGCACAAAGTCTTCACTGTATTGTGAACTGCATTTATGCTACAAAGTTTGCAGAAATATGTTTAGTATGAAGCACAGATGGTTTGAAAGGGGGTTTATTTGCCAGATTCAAATGCTTAACATTAGGAATACTACCTTAAGGTCAACAGAAGTGCTTACCTTATGCATTTCTATTAACATGTCCTTCCAGACTGCTAACTAAGAAGTGTAATGCTGTGCCTCTCCAACAACTGCACCTCCACACGGCCAAACGTGTAAGACCAAACTGAGACTCCTATTAGTACCAATGAGCAACAACTCCCTCTTCTCTTTGTTACCCAAACAGAAGAATTCTCAAAGGATCTGTGATTATTTTGCTATATGCAAAAAAAGATGCTTAGAAAAGACTGGCTAATTGCAAGGTTAATACTAGTATCTCTCTTGATCCCTACTCACTTAAACTCTGATCAAACAGAAGCTTTTAATAACTTTGATTTAAAATAAAGCCACATGTGCTTCAATGCACAGTCACTTCAGTTTACCCCTTTCTTCCACTCCAACCCTTAGCTCTCGTTTCTCACACTATACATATTCCTTCTGAGATTCTCTTCTGAAGCAAGTCTTGTGGATTTATGAGAAAAATCCAGGCACAAGTAGCAGTATAGTTCCTTCTAGACAGGCAGCATAGGCCCAAGCTACAATGAAATTTGGTTCTTTCCATACAGGACTTACTCCAAGACTATCCCTGACCAGCTTTGCACACTCAAACACATTCCCTTTATAATAAAACACCCTTTCCAAAACTCATGGGGGAAGAGGATAAAAAAACAAAGCCAAAAAACCCAGAGTTCTGCTCAAGTAAGTTAATTCACCATTAACTTATTTCTTGACTGTTGATAAGCTGGAATTCAAAAGCGTGATCTATCCTTTCACTTGCTAAAGCAAGTGAAACTGCATCTTCCCATACATGCATCCAACTGAAGTTGTATTAAGCATTTATATTCAAAAGCCCTGCTTGTTCTTGTTAACTGTTGACTGGAGGAACAAGTTATTTTCTTTCTTCCCTGTGTCACTTTAAAATGACTTGAGATTCACCACAGATTGTCAGACTTGCTTGACAGGCCATGCCATGCTACAGCAGCACTTAGATTGAAATCCCCAAAGCACAGATGCCTAGGTAGTATATGCATAGGTACCCTGAAAATTAAGCTTAAAGTGGAATCATTCAGTACATCTTTGGTGCCATTAAATACATTGTGAAGAATAAATACTATACTTGGGTTCACAGATGGAAGTTTTATTCAATTAACAACGCAACTTTCAAATCCATAGAGCATTCGTTATACTAAATAAAGATAGAACTATTTCTTACTTTATGCTTACACCAAACAATTTAGTTTTCTACATCTAAAAACAGTTGACAAAATTAACAGAAGAGCCTTCAATCCCATACGCTTCTGTTAGGGTATGACATTCCCTGACCTTTAATGCACAAACCAAAGGCAAGCAGGACAAAACAAGGATTTACAACATGTAACTACATGGTCAAGGAACTGGGTTTTAATTTGTTTTCATACTTCTGCACACCCCCTAACCCCTTCATCATGACTCAGTAGAACCCAAATTCAAAATCTACACTAATGTTAGTATTACAATTTCTTGTGCTGCTATATATATATATGCCTACAGGGAGCTATAACAGAGGGGATATATACAAAGCATTAAAAGGCAGAAATAGCTCATACAGGTAGTCTTTAGTGTCACTAAGACTATCCATTCTACCTAACTGTGCAGTTGAACACACAGAAAACACTGTACAAAGATCAGTATATTTAATATTAATTTTGCCTTATACAATACTAATTTCATCCCTATTCTTTTAAATTCACATATTCTCTTTGCCTCAGCAAGCAGCGGAGGTAGGCTGATTTGAGTGTGAGAGAGGATGTGTGGACAATGCGGATGCATTTCCACAATTGCTTCACATGATCTTTCTTATTCCCTGGCTGTTGGCACAGTTTCATCAAATGATACAAATAGCAACTTAAATGGACTCTATGTTTCGTGTTCCAGATTCTGGTTATGATGTATATGGAACAAGAATGAATGCAATGTTTTTCCCTCAGGTAAAAAGTCCTCTTGTACTTTCCAGGAAACAAAGAGAAAACAGGAGATGTGAAGAGCTGAATACATATTGTAGCAAAATCAGGATGCAAGTTTATTCTAAATAGTTTTGGACTACAAAGATTAACTGATATTTGTCAAATCATCAAATCATAAGTAATGAAAAGTGTAAGAAAAATTACTTATCCAGTTTTAGGCACAAGTCATTCCTTCTTTAAATAGGTCTTTAGATTTTGCCTGCCTAAGGAATATGTTAGGAGTACTTATCTAGCCACAACAAACTTTAAATCAAGTCTTGATAGACTGGCAACACTCTCATGGAAAAAAATACAGCCAAGATCAAAACAGATTTTAAAAAACAATATTCAAAATAGTTATGAGTTGTGATTTTTGCTCCTTAATGCAACACAGAATTTTAGTAATTTAGTATATAAAGGTAACACAAGTTTATAGTCATAACAGTGAAAACTACTTTAAGACTGACTTCTTTGCAAAAAAAATCTGCTTTTATATATTTTCGTTAAGCCCTAAAATGTTTGACAAAATCCACAATGCAAACCCATATTTCTAGGCACCAGCCAAATATTTTAACCACAGCAACACTGTTTGTCTTGGCTGTGTTGAAAAGATGTCTGTTATATAAAGCACTCAAAACGTAGTTTTACAGCCATCTACTTCTGAAAGAAGCAAGTCCTCACTTGGCTTCACAGAACTGTATCTGTTTTCCCCCAACTTTGCTTAAAAGTCTTAGAGTAACATCTCAGAGGCTGACACAACCACTCCTAATAATATTTTGGCTGGTAACAGACTACACACAGTTACAGAATGCTTTTCCTACACTGAAGGGCAACTAACAGATGGTTTAGCAGTTGCCCAGCTAACTTTGTTTGCACATGTAAGCACTAACTAGTACTTTACTAAATACAGTAGTTTTATTTTCTGCTTTTTGGTTGCAAAACAGAACATAATGTAAAAAAAGCATATTGTAAAATAAAGCAAAGCCTTCCATAAGGTTGCAACGCTCATTTACAAGCACATATTCCCTTTATCAAGCATTATGCTCTTAATTATTATCAGTCATTTTAGCATGAGTTCCTGAAAAGAAACTATGCATTATGGAATTGCTGTAACAATAACCAAATACATGGCTATAAATTACCTTGCAAAATGCATATGCTTCCATCTGAATGCTTAGTCAATTAAAATTCTATCTTCATATAACACACTTGAAGAGCCTATTTAAAAATAAGATGTGAAGCAATTTAGCTTGAACTGCCTCTCTCATTTCTCACATTCGATTTTCAAGCGTGCAGACTGATAAACTGGGTAATCATTGAAAATTAGAGTATCAGTAGGAAAGACTGAGATCTGTGTTCTGGAGGTGTATTTAATTGGTAGAAATCACTTTTTTACATCCATCAGAAGCCATCTTTTTCATTTAGGAACAATAGCAGAAAAAAGAAGAGATAAAAACTTCAGTGTGTAATTATTTGGAGCAAGTTAAAACAGGCTGATCATCCTCACCCCTAACTCCTCAAATACCATCACTCTTGTATGCCTCAAAAGAAAACCTTCTCTATTCTGTTCAAGTCAGGTACAACTTCCTCTATGCAGTTCTTATTTTACTAGCAGTATGAGGAAGAAGCCACCTTCCTCTTAATATTTTGGTTACCCACCACATTGAGAAGCCTTTGGCAAGTTTCTATGTTTAAAGAATATAAAGACAGATTAGTACCATTCTCTTTGAAACCAGTCTGGCAAATATTGAGGTAGCTGAAGCACTGAACTCCAAGAGCATTTCAGAATATTTCTAGCTTTACAGTTATTTTTTTCTAGCTATCAATATAAAAAAAATGTAGAGGTTATATACCATTTTTAAAAGCCTTAGTAGAGAGCAATTCTATCACAGTGTACGATGTAAAAGTTTGCATCCAAAGTAAAATTAAGTGCAAAATCTCTATCCCAAGCCTTATTATATTCTGCTTCCTTTCCTTCCTCCAAATCACCTTAAATACAAAGGATGGGTTAAGCCTTCTTAGAAATATTATGGTTTAGAGAACATTTTTGCTATTGGCAAAACAAAATCCCTATGCCTCCTGCCTCATGATTTAAAAGTAACAGTGGGTTGAGTTTGGGTTGTGGGGTTTTCTGGTTGTTGCTTTGGGATTTTTTAAATCTCAGTGTTGTTCAGAAGAGGCAGCTGCAAGTATCTTTAAGCAGTTCTTTCCACACATGTCTATTCACAAATTCAAAGCCAAGCTTTATAGTTTCTATCATGCTGAAAAAGACAACTCAAGATTGGAAAAGACATAGATTATAATATGCAGGATAGATACTGTACCATTAAATAAGTGCAGATAAACGATGCAGTTCATTTTTAAGTGCAATCATTTTTGCTAATCATAAACAAAACTGAAATAATTAGAAAAAAATATTAAAGCAAGTATTTAAGACAAAACTGAAGTATTGACAAGAGCAAAAAGCTACTGGCACTAGGAAGCAGCAAAGAGATTCATCTGTGTACTCAAAGGGCAATGCTAAAATTCAAAACAAATTCATGGATTTCCACTAGGTGGTACTCTACGTGTATGCAGCTGTTTACAGCTGTGGCTCCCATTTCCATGCCTGTACAATTACAACTGTTAGTAGTGCAGTAGAATCTGGGGAACTGCTAACTGAAACCACCTTCACACTTTCATCATGTTGTCTAAGTTAATCCAGACGGTCCTCAAAACCACAGTACTGTTCCTTACTCTTCAAAATTAGTCATCTACTAGGCACAAATTCCTCTATAATCATGTGGATTTACAGCCTCAGTTCCACCCACTGTAAGACTATTTCCTACAGTCATGTTCACATTTAAGAGGAGGAAAACAAGGCTCACATTTTACTTACTCTCCACTCCTGCAGAACCTGCCTAGTCTGTTGCCCTCACAGCTCCAATCTAGCCAGTTCTGCAAACTGGTCATCCATAGTTTTGCTCAGCACCAGCTCCCATGCCTAGCCAACCTGCCTGGCTTCCCCATCATTGCTGCTTAGTAAGGTCCCCAAAATAAATAAGAGCATTAGCTTTAAAAGTTGTATTAGCCATCAATTAACTAATAAATAAATATAGCATTTTAGTCTCTTAACTTTTAATTCAGTACAGATAAGTAACATGGATGCTTCCAAAAACACATTCTGAAAAGCATGTGTACTATTGTAATCAGACAATGAACAGCTGGCTACCCAGTCCATAAACATGTCTCATTTTAGATCATGTGACAGTTTACATAATACCTAAAATTTTGCAAAGCATTGCTAGAACATCCCTATCTTCCTAGTTATAATTTCATGTTCTTCCTCTGAAGAAATTGCTGAAGTTAAAGAAAAAGCAGCATTACACATTACAGAGTAACAGCTCATCAAAAACTCCTTGTAACTAGTCTAGAGGTACTTTTTTCACACCAGAACACATTAAACAGATATAATAAGCTATTTCCATAATGTTGCATTTAAGTTACGATTTCTTTTCAATCCAACAGTAAATCCCATCTCCACCTTCCCAGATGAGATACCAGCAATCTGATAAGCAGCTGCAGCAGGTTGAGTTCTAAAAACTTGTATTTCATACACTTAAAATGCTCAGGGCTTCAGACAAATACTTGGATCCTGCTTACTTAAACCAGTATGAGCACACTCACATCAGCACTGCTAGTGCACAGTTTACTCAGTGAGTGAAGATTGCCAAAACTTCCCTCCTACCCCAAGAAAAGATACTGAGCAGTTTGTAAGTAGCTTAGAGACGATAACTGCAGTATCATAGTAACAGTCTGAAGCCTTACACATTATACTACCTAAAAGACAGTACATACAAACACAATACTACTTAGAGCTGCTCTATGTGCACATAAACCCACACCTTTTCCATAACTTCCTGTAGTTCCAAAGTCAGGGACAATACCCTTCTATTTCTGCAAGCAACTACTTCATGCATGCTAGGAAAAAACCATGTAGGTACACAGAAGAAACTTAAACATGGAGGAGACAGACTTAAATAAGAAGCTAGGTAAAAGCATTATGAATCAACTCTCAAATCTGGGTAGTCAGAGTGACACAATTTGCCATAGCTGGATTCTCGGCATTAGGAGCTACCAAAGGTTTTAGGTGTGGTTTTTTGTTAGTATTTCTTTGGTGGTGGTGGATTTTTGTGGGGGGTTTTTGTTGTTGTTATGAAGGTTGTGGCTTGATGTGTGTTGTTGTGGGTTTTTTTTGTGTTGTCATTGTTCTAAATTAGTAACTTTCATCTATCCAGGGTTATGAATCCCATCTATCAGTAAGAAAAAGACCAAAATATCACTTAGTCCAATTTGTGTAATTCTAAGAATGCAAATCACAATGAACAAGCATTTACAAGGACAGCACAGAGACCATGTAATGATGAGTGAAAATAAACACGAGTGAAAAAGATGAGATGATGTGCTGCCAGGCTCCTTACCCATTGCTGCTGCTGTTGGAGCTCCCTGATGGTATTCTCAGCTTGCTCCAGTTTAGTAATGGCCTCATCACTCTGCTGTTTGATGGTGGCCAGCTCCCGTTTTACAAGGTAGTTTTCCTCAGCCTCCTGGGCCCTTGTCACTTGTCCCTTAGGACATAATTTATTTTTTTAAGCAATTGAGGACAAATCCAAGACAGACTGCCTTTGTGATGCTTAGCTGCTTATTTCATCACATTGCTTTTGCAAACAGCATGGAGTACATGGTAGAAATTTTAGGACAAGGTAGTACTAAACAGCTGTTTTACTACTTCATTACAAAGTTCAGCATCCGTTTAGCAAGCACAATTGTGTACTTGCATTCAATAAAGTTCCTTTCATGCAATATTACTCAGTTGTACATGCACAGATTTAAGTTTGCAATATTCAATTTCAAGTGTTAATACAGTGTCAGAGAATCCACTTCTCATAGGAATTTGTACCAAAAAATTACATTAGGTTAGGAAAATTATTACAACGTGCAGGTATTGGGTTTATGTATTTTTAGTAAACAATATTAAAGTTTCTAGCAAGAGATTAGCTGTATATTTATTCCAAATCAGCAAAGCAGGCATAGAGTACAGCATGCAAATATGCATGCATCAAAGCAATTTGGGGGTTTTTGAGAGTAGGAAGAGAGTCATACAGTAAAAGACTAAAAGACTATACCTGTATCAATCTATCTGCCAAGGAAGCACTTTCCTACAAAGGAAAAATTCAGACAGGGATAAGGAAAAGAAAAACCAAAAAACAGAGGGGTGATAATAGTGACAAAAAGGACAAGAGCTGAGAAAAAGAAAATGCCCAAATTCTACCCATTTTCTGTACAAACTCTTTTTGCAAAATTAACAACTTCTCATATAAATTAAGGTAACTCAGCCTGAAAGTGGCAGGAAGCAGCCTTTTCTGCAGTAGCTTTAACACAGTCCATCCTTTATACAAGAAGGTCTCAGAGCCAGATTTCCATAACACTTCAAATTCACCTAGAGGAGACTGGGTATTTTGATCCAAATGGTTCGCTTCCCAATTAACAGAAGTTACACATACAGTGTCTGGTATGATCTAGGAGATAGATGCAAGATGGGATCTATGGTCTGCCCATGACATGAAAGGAAGGCATAATTTGAGCACAGAGGAAACTCCACTAAGCACTGAGGCATTCATGCAGAACTAAAGCTTCCAAATAGATGAAGCAGGAAAGTTAAATGGTGCAAAGTGATAGACACAAGTAAAAAATTTCAACTATGACAGCTAATATTTGGGTTTACTGAACTCAATTGAGCAGATAATAGATTCTCTTTCCTTGCCAAAATTTTTCAAGAAAGAAATTTGCATTGATGCATGCTGACTGACAAGCACTACATTCCCCCCGCCAGTTGCACATTTCATTAATTTCTACTCTATCACCCTTGAAAGCACTCAATCTTTGCACATTCTACAACAGAGAACACATCTATTCACAGATCATCTTCATCCTTGGCACTTTTATTAAAATTAAAGTTCAAATTGGTTGATAAGAGCCATTACTTAGATTTTAAGGCAAGACATTTGTCATTAAGGTACATTAAGGAAATCACAACCAAATCAGACAGGTTAGGATGTGGAAAAATATATCTTAAAAATGAGTTTCCAACAGAACTGAATGGGTTTGGTCACACTTTATGACCCGTTTTCCAAATGCTGTGATGATAATGGTCATCATAAATTCTTATTAACAGATAAGATTTTCCCATTTTGAAATGTTCTAAATCCAGCCAGAATGGAACACTTAAAGTGAATTCTGAAATTTTTAGTACAGAATTTGCAACAGCACTAGTGTCTGGTAGTTCATCATGGACTTCCTAGTTAAAAACCCCTCCGATTTCAAACTCTGCAAGTTAAGTGCACAACAGGGGTATTTACTATTATAGATTTGCCAGGAACATTGAAATGATTCACTACAGCTTCAGACTTCATAAGAAGAGTCTGCACTTTTGAGTTCATTTTATCAGCACTTCGGTAGAAACAAACATGTTTATGAAATTGTATTTCTGGTCACATCTTTCAAATGTCCTCATTATATGCATTTTTGCACACCAAAAATTCAGAAATCAATTAAGTAGAATTTGCAACAGATTGACTGTTTTTCCAAGAAACTGTAGTGGATTTAACAGCAGAAGTGTGACATCTTTCAGTTATGTCACACTAAATCAAATCTTTACCATTTTCTTCCCTGTGAAACACAAACCACTGTTTGCAACTCACAAGAGCATTCCATTTCATTTGATGAAAGATAGCTGCTATTCCTGGTTAAGATGGACAAGAATGTTCTCATTCTAGAGCAGGCCAGCTCAGATGCAATCTGTCACAGGAAGCATGATACCAGAATATAGGAGAAGCCATTGGGGAACAATGCCTGCATGCTGGCACCGTAGCAATACCAGTTATCATGTATACTTTTAAACTCATATCCAGTTACAAAACTCTGATCCAGACTAAATCTATGCAAAATAAAAGACACTCTCCCCACCCTGTACCCAAAATTGCTACAAAAAATCAAAACTATATAAAACAGATTCATGGCAGCAGATTCTCTGTACTGAGTATGAATGCTGCAACACCACCCCTCTGTTGCTGTATTTGCTAGTGATGAAGTAATCTGCTTTCATCTCCATGTCTGGTCAGTGGTAGGTCTGTCATTTTGCTCATATGTAAAAACACCCAGCAAGTTCATATTTTCAAATTTGAGGATTCTTTCACAATAACCTCTTTTCCACCCAAGCAGTCCACTACTTCATGTAGTCTTCTGGACTTTAAACAGATGCTTCTAATTCAGAAAGAAAACAGTACAACAGAAGTTGGGTATGTCAAAATGTTTGATTTCATATTCACTAAGAGTCAGACTTAATAACCACACACATTTACAAGCACTGGCCCTAACTGTTTTATTATTGCCATGCTATTTGGCTAAGCACTGTTAGTAAACATCATGGATTAGTAGAAAACAGTAAATTATGAGATTCCATTTCATATAATAAAATGACCATCAATTTAAGTATAAATTAACACAGATTCAATATATTCAACAACATACTTACTTTTTCTAGTGTTTCAATGCGCTGTTTCAAGAGTCTATTTTCAGTTCGTAGCCTCTGGAAGGTAGACCATTCATAATTATATCTCTCAAGTTATGAATTGGAAGTCTGATAAAAGCCAAGCACGCTAAAAACATTTTTATCATGTCACATCTATGAAAATCAATATAAACACAAAAACAGTGACCTTTTTAACATCTTTCTATATGATGTACTAACTCAAAAGGTTAAACAGCTTGATACAGCAAAGGAGAGATGAAGTCTTGTGTTAACAAAAGCATCTGTGTTGTATTAGATGAAAGCAGTATGTCTGCAGGTGACCCACAGGGCTTAACCACACATTAGACTTGACAACCTGCTCTTCCTGAACAGATCCAGACAAGCTCATTGTGGGTGAGGGACATGGAAGTTCCCTCCCCTGCACTAGAGACCCCCACAAGGTTTTCTTCCTTTTCCTCCCAGTAATTTATGTTTAATTACATCATAGCATTTTCTTAAATCTGTAAGGTTATTCTGAGAATTATTTACCTCAAATGCCCCAGAAGTAAGATTTGTACTGAATTGCACATTTTACTGGAGCATTTCCTGTAAATTTTAGCAGTCAGCATTCATATAGAAGAGATCCGTATGTATCCCTAAGAATAGAGCCATGGGTATCAGTTCAGTAATGCTTTACTCTGCCAGGCTAAAAGGCAGACTCGATGCACTTGTTTTTCCATCTCCCTAACACAGCAGAGCTTCTTAGCAGAAGACACTGAATGATTTCTATAAGGTCCCAAAGCAGGGCCTAGAAAGAGACATCTTTGCTGCCAGCTGCATCAGTGCTTGTTAGAACAGTAACAAACTGCCTGTAAAAGCTTGGAACACCTTTGTGCTCCCAGGTACATGTCACTGAATTGTGAACCAATGCCTTAGAAACTGATAACGAAAGGCAAAATGACCAGCAGTGGACAGGAAGAAGTAACCTGTAACTCTCTCCCTCCACTAAGCTTTATATACTACAGTTGCCCATCATTTCTCCCACTGCCTTTTCTCATGGAACTGACTAAAAACATGACAAACTAAGGAAGGAAATCCAGATCAAACACTATGCTGTGAGTAAAAAAAAATGTGATAAAGTGGTAAACACCTATTTATATCACAAAAACAAAAAGATGCAGTGATTAAGTACATACAGGAAGTAGGTCAGTTCATAGAAGGGAAATAAACTTCACCCCCAGGGTGGGTTTTTCCCCCCACATGATGTATCAATTGCAGGAGCTCCAAAAGAAAAGGTGACTGCAGACAGAAAACACAATCTTGGGCCCAATGTGCAAGAAAAATCAAGTTCTCAAAATAAAACTCTGTCTTATGTGTCTTACAGGCCTCCTGTATGGGACACCTACATCTAAACCATCATATTCAGAACCTCTGATAAATGAGGCCATCTGTAATCAAGATTTAGTCAGCAGAAAATAATGAAAAAAATGAATACAGCAGGTCTCCATCAAAGATCTCCCTTCAAATGTCTTCCAGAAATCTCAGTAATTTCACTCTAAGTGTCCCTTATGAACAGACACCCCAGATACAAGTGATGAAAGAATCTGGAGACCTCAATTACATGTCCTGCCACATACACAGATCAAATACATAAGCCCATATCTAGGAATTTAAGTGACACATAACTAAATTGGTTGAGGCTCTCTTACTTTAATTTCAACTTGTTCTTCCATTTCTTTTGTCTTTATTGTAGTGTATTCCTTTTCTAACCTAAAAATTAGAAACAGTAAATTATGATTAGAAATAGTGTGGATAACTTACTTGTTAATGTGATACCAAACAAACAAGAGTAGAACAGAGATACAGATTATTGATATTTCTTCTGTTTAACTGGCCACTTAAATTGCACTCCTGTAAATATTTAGATTGGACATTACATTTAAACTTAGACTTTTGTAGGTATGAACAGACTCTGAATGGGCACTCTGAAGTGCAGGTACTTCTCATACACATTTATAATGGCAATGACTTGGAGCTACAATGTAATAACCACTCAATGTAACTAAACAATAATCAATTCAATAGATTCTGTCAAAAGTAAACAGAGCTTGGAAAGCACTGAAGACAAAAAGATGCAAGGATATTTAAGATAAATATCTTAAACATGTAAAACAATTTTGTTTAAAGATAAACAGCAGTTCTTAGCAACAGCATAATCCATTTCTCAAAATGTTATACCTACTTTTTCATCTTTTTTGCATTGTATTTGACTTGGTAAGATGCTTGAATTAATTTGTCTGGACCAGTGTCAAACTGATGTGGAATGACCTTTTGAAAGTGCTAAAAGCAATCAGAGCACAAGATAACATACCATTAATAGCTGCAAGGAAATACACACACACTCTCATTACACATTTCAGACATCTCTTGCCATTATTATAACCTTAATTTACCTGTAACATTCCTTCCATGTCAAGTTGCAGTAACTCTGCTTGGTTCATCTGAAGTACTGCTAAACCTACTCGAAATACTATCTCTAAACCCTGAAAACAGAAGTTAAGAAATATCCAGCAGTTATTCATGGCATCATCAACAGTGCGGAACAATCCTACTATTTACTAATGTTGACAATCTCATCCAGTTTCTCAAACAAACAAAGGGGTACAATGTCGTTAAACTATTTAAACAGATACAAGGGAATGTCTTGCCCATATACACTGCCTTGGACATTCTGGAGCGTAAGCTGAAAGGATTCACTTTGACTTAATATTTTCTAAACGATAATTGCAGAGAAAGAGCATAAATGGACCATAAACTTTGGTTTGTTCCCAGTTTCAAACACATAAAGCTCTAATCCTAAACACAACTTAGATGTCTTTGCAATAGTGACTAAATAATTCCATTAATTTCTTCTGCTACTGTACATCATCTGGACAGTACGAGACACCACCACTCCCTCTTCTTGGCCTGCATAATCTCAGGGAATTTTAACTTGGTTTGAAAACAGCGTCACTTTCCATCCCAAATGCTGAGAAACTGAGGTCCCTGCTGGATGCAATGCTACTGAATCCAGAACTGACAGATTTAATAACTTCAACAGGCTTAGAGCAGAGTTACATACAGTATCTACATCCAAAGACTTAGCTGCTCTTCCTTGAAAAACTACGTACACAGACCTCTTCCCCTACAAAATAATCTGATAAGCATAAGGACTAAAAGCAAGACTATTTGAGATTTGCACAAAATAGTGGGATTTATACCACTACCTAAAAAAGTAGCTGCTTTTAACAGCTACTTTTGAAATAGAACATACGAGTATTGAGTAGTTACCTCAGACATAAAGATATCAAATACTCTTGTTGCAATTGGTAGTGGAAAAGTTGTAAGGAATATAGTTAAAAACCATGACGATGCATACATAGAAGTGTGGAAACTCTGAGACTGAAAGTGCACGTAAAGCTCTGGAAGATGCTCCTAGAAGAGGAAGAATACACATAAAGCTTTCGCTGGTAGCTTTGGTGTGCCAATGGTTTTGACATTTAAAATAAATAATAAAATGATAAATAATTGATATTTATTACAGACAGCAGCTTTGTAACACAGGACCAGGAAAGATACAACTCATCATTACCAAGAACCATGCAACAGAAGTCCCAATACTGAACGCCCTACAGAACTTCCACCCTGCAAAGCACAGATTACAAAAACACTTTCTGATTATAATAGGAAGTCAGGGGCTTGTAAATCCTTAAGTCACATCTACAGTGGGCTATAGAAATGAGCTGGAAAAATCTAGGATACGGCCAGAGACGCGTGTCTTAACATCCCACTCCGATCATCATGTTCAGAAATGGATCACAAAACACAAACCTGTTTGTTTCCATCAGTCTGGCCAGGAAGAAAGTGTTCTATGTCCCAGGTTTGAACACAATTTTAATTCTACATATGAGACTATCTCCCAGTTTGCATCTTTTAGAATAGCTGTAAATTGACTCTGAAGACACTGACTTTCAGAATCTTCAATCCAAACAGAGTAAGACATTCACATGCTTAACTAGCAACACAAATACTCATGCTTGTGTTTAAAGCCAGTCACTGTCTCCCAAGATTAAAAAAGTAGATCACACAGCCATATGCCTTTACTTCTGAAATTCTGACACTAGCTACTGTCAGAACAGCCTGTTAGCCAGCAGACATGCCCTCTGTTAACTGTAATTTCCAAGTTCCTTATTAAGAGTTACTGAAGAGAAAGTTTGATAGATTTTGTATGTACCTGTATCATGCATTCAAACTGGTACATACAAAGGCCCAGTTCAGCCATGCTTGGTTTAAAGAGTTCTCGTAGTCTGTAATCTTGCATTAATTTAACAAACACACAGAATGCCTCTTCTTCTGGCATCTATAGTAAAAATGAAAAAGCACAGTAAAAACTCTGGACAATTATAAGGATATATCAGAGTAACTGCCTTGGGGGGTTAGGGTGTTTTGAGTGTTCGTGCATATGTGGTAAGGGTTATTTTTGGGTTTGTGTTTGTTGTTTGGTTCGGAGGGGAGTGGAGGTGGTGGTGGTTGGTTTGTTTAGGGTTGGTTTTTTTGGTTGTTGGGGTAGGGAAGGGATGAGGTTTGTCTTTTAAGGGATTTATAACTAATTACTGTAATGAAGTTTTGTATATATTGAATTTTACCAAGTGATTTTTAAACTGAAATAGCGGTCTGAACGTTTCTGATGATATACCCTACTTTGTCATAAAACAGAAGGCAGTAACACAAAGGCAGCTTTAAGATTATCAAATCAACTGTGAAGTTCCATTTGAACTCTGAGGAGATTCAGTGTAATAGGACTGAAATGAGAAGTTTGTTAATAGTTGAAACAGCATTCACCAAAATAGCTCTCAAGTCTGCAATCCTACCTTAGCTCTGAGAAATAAATGTATTCCCAAAGATAGTATCTTCTTGGCAAATAGAATAAATCTCATGATTTGCAGAGTGAACAGCTGCCCTTGACAATTCCATTGCAACAAAATGACGAAGGAAAGCTGATCTAGAAATTCCCAGTAAGCCACCATGTTTAATTATACATTCTAGTAGGGATTTTAAAGGTTCACATATTTTTAATATCATGTTTACCTGCATAAGCAGTAGTCCAACTATAAAAGCGCTTCCTTGACAGTATCCAACCTCACGATCCACCAAAGAATAAGCCTGGGAAAGAAAGTTTTATGACTCTCAACAGTTAAAACTTCATAGTTCATGCCGTTATTCTGCTAATAACTTACTTTTCCTCTCTCAAATCCAGCAAGGAGGCACATTCTACACAGAAATTTTAGTTAGATATTCTAATTGCTCCTTGCCTTTACAAAGAGGTATGAACTCTGCTCTCTGATAGTTACAATGCTAAAACTAAAGCATATCTAAAAAAAAAAAAAAAAAAATTAATACATGCTCTTTTCAACTACAGGAATTTACCAGAAGGTAGCAGATAACAGACAATGCTGCCATACAAACTGCACAAGGTTACTACTGAAGCAGGAGACAGACCAAAGAAACAACAGGTTTTATCAGCAAAATTATGTGCTGCAGTTCTATTTATAGGTAGAGGAAATGCAGTGATCTCCACGCACACTGCATCCTCATTTAAGAGTTATGGAAGTTACTCTGATTTGGAAACCTGCTAACTCTTCTGTTGAAACTACATTGTATGGTAAAGTCTTTGAAAATTTAAGCTCTAGTACAATGAAGACAAAACAATGCAAACTTAATTTCATGGTGGCGTTCTCATTTTGTACTTAGGCACTGTAACAACTGCACATTAGCTTGTACCTGCCATTTGCTGCTACCACTTGCAGTTCAGAAGCACTTGAAAACCAAATGTTAGTTCTGATTTACAATGCTCTTGTCTTGGCCAACATTGTTTACTTCGCAGCACACTTTATTCCATTATACTATCAGCAGATAGAATGTGACTTGGTTTTAATGGAAATTTGATAAGTTTAAGTCTCTTATAAAGTAAAGCCATTAACTATAGGAATAACATACTTGAAAAAGAGCTTTCAATAGCTGGAATTGCAATTACTGGAATGTAATTTGTTAAAACCATTCCCAGTGTCAAGTAAAGTAAGTTTAAAAAACCTTAAGCACATAAAACTGATGCAAGTTCATGACACAAAGCAAATTCTTCCCCAAACTTTTGTGCACACTCTTGCTAACGTATTTTGAAGGGCTGAAATACTGACTCACCTTCATGACATTGAACAAGACCTCCTGCCCAAGGCTGTCTTTTTCCTTAAAAAAATCATGTTCAGGGTATGTTCTAGCAATGTCCCTTCTTATTAGTTTCTCACAAGGAGATGTCATTTTCAAGAGCTCTGAATACTGATCCTTAATCGGCATGCTTTGAGCACTGCATAAGAGTTGCCAAACAATTGCTCTGAAATGATGAGGTATCCCTTTTCGAACAAGCTCCTAAAGCACAAAAAAGGACATAAATCCATTTATATTTCCTGAAAAATAAACATAAGCTTTAAGAACAAAACAACTTCAACAAATTAAAGTTCCTCACAACTTCAGAAAATGTTTACATCATGTCACAAACCAATCATGCAGTTTATATTATGTAGACCTCGCTTCTAGCCTGATACGTTCTTAGCTAACAAAAATAAAGAGACTCTGCATCATTTTGAGTGGCTAAATTAGCTGATAAAAGTAGACCCCTATTCATAGTAGGCTACTTGAAAAACTGAATATTGAAGTAAATTTAAATAATAACTCCCATTAGCCAGAATTTATCAGAGTTATTTTTATATTTCACAAAAGATGACTGAAGGTAATACTCTTCATTGTATTTGTAATGATTGAGAAATAAGAAATCTGTGATTAAAAATTATTTCCAAGACAGGTAAATGATAAAAACTGGAACTCACTGTAGCACAGTCAACTGCAACAAAAGAACTGCACAGTACTACTATCAGAAATCATTTGGCAAACTTGACAGGTTGTGTCTAATTTCTCTGTCGTGCCAGTATTTCCAAGTTCTTCTTTAAGTATTTAAATGCAGTTTCAGACACTAGACCAAGAAAACACTAAGTTTACATATACCAAAGTAACCCAATTTTCTTCATCTTCCCTGGAAAAGAAAAATCAGCTAGGTATTACACTATTCAAACCTTCCCAGGTTAAGAGATCTAAGAAGCTGATACTTGTCTTTTCAGAAAGCACAAGCACAAAGTAGCCTTGTTACTTGATCTGAAAACTGAGAAAAAACAGCATGATTTGGGAAGTTCACAGACTGTCTTCAGGGTATGTTCTGCATCAAGGATCAGTCTGATCTAGAAGATGGTCTCTTGCAGACAAGAGGGTTCCTTGAATCATTTTTTGTACCTTAAGAGTTTATCTATCCTGTCTCCTAAATGAGAGTTTCTTTCACTGGTATTTAGTCTGAACAAAATCTCCTACCTGCAAAGCTTCCTCTTTTTCCTGTTAGTTCCAAGTATTTCTCCTACTTTGCCAAACATCAAGAATAATTAATGCAACAGTGATAACTTTTAAAGAGACTCTCCTTTTCAAGTTTTGTTTTTGTTAAGCTTGAACTCTACTGCAGGAGTTCTGCACCACTGACCTCAATTTTCTAACATCCTCACAATCTCCACCCTTCTTCTGACCATCCCAGTAACACCACTCCAACTATTCGTCTCATCAACAACCCAACTATGACATCCTGTGTTATTTTCTAAAGGATTTCCAATTCCAAGACAACCACCCTAACACATTGGCTTTCCACATCTGTCTCTAGCTCTCATTCGTCAACAATACACTATCAGATTGTGGATCAGTCATCTAATGCCTCGAGGGCTACTAGTAATGAAGCATTGGCAAGTGGTTCTTGCTTTAAGTTACCATACACCTACTTGACAGAGTAATGGGGTCAATCCCTCCAACATTCCTAAAGGAACAGCAGGAAAACACACCTGCTAAGCAGCACTAAAGCAATTGTATTCTACATGGTATCACGCACATTGAAAAACAGGACTTAAGTCATCCTTCAGAACCCTCCATAAACAGGAAGTGAGTTCTGAAGTGGATCAAGAGACATCAGGATGGAACACATCGCCTGTGCTGGAAGGCACGTACACCTATGTCTAAAGCTTAAAAAACTTACCAGATATCTAATAACTTAAGACCTGCTTTCACAACCAAAACAAAAAGATACCTCTGCTGCTCAAGTTGTAGCTACTGGCACAATCAGGAAATAGATATGGATGTTCTGGTATTCCATTATAAATGCAGAATGACATTGTTTAGGCTAACTTTTGGCAAGCAGAACAAAACCAAAGAAGGTATTTAGAATTATTTAATCAGCAAGGGAAAAGTCGCTAGCAATATACTTAAATATTTACGGGAAGTTAGTCAAATACTGGGCCAGCTGTAAAACCAAGTGATAATTTTGACACCTTAAAATGTTCAAATGCAGGCAGCTCAAATGAATTCTATCCAACCAGATCTACTTATTACCATCTCACTTCTTTCTCTTGCCAGGTTCACGTGGCCTTCTTTTCCTGGCATTTTGGAAACATCTTTCCAGAAACTGTTCTCCCTATGCAAGCTGGAAGTCTTGAATTAATTTTCTTCCCTTGTTTCCTCTCTCAAGTCTTGTTCTCTCTTCGCAACTGCTTCACATAAAAGATACTTTACTTTAGCCCATTGTTCTGCCTTCCCACAACCTATTCATACGCACACATTTCAATCTGCTCAAAGGACCCTGACATTTGTATTCCACACATAGAACTACAGGCTAGAGCCAATAAAGAACCAAAGCAGAACAGACTTGCCTACGAACAAAAATCCCACGCTGCTGTACTTGCAGTCTCTGTAACATGGGTATATTCAAATGTCCTACCTGCTTTTTAGTTTGAATTTAAAGTGTAACTGAACTCCATGTCTGTACATGCCAACAGCTAACCCAGACTGGACACACACTGGTCAAAGTTTGTTCATTCCACTCAGAATTTAGAAACTATGTGTTTTTCTGCTTGAGGTCATCCCTGGGGTCAACGCACTTGGCATGCACAAAAACCTGAACTCAGAGCCTCATACAGTAGGATTGTCAGCTCTTCTAATGAGAATGCTTGAAAAAGACAGCTGCTCAGTGGGAAAATAATCATAGCATCCAGATGTCCTCAAGAGGGTTTTCAGTAATTCCATTTTGGAAACTTGAAGCAAATCTTCCCTATATTCATGAGAATCTCTCATTAGAGGTAGACTGAAAGCTTCAGTATTCAAGATACATTAAATACTAGTTTTTAATACAAGATATCAGATGAAAAAGCCATTACCAAAGTCTGGTAACAGTTACATAGGAAGCACTTACAGATGGAATAGATTCACTGGAAGCTCCTTTACATATTTATTTAAAAAGTAAGACCAACAGGAAGATAAACCAGTATCATTGGTATCACTTTACAAATACAACCTAAAAAAATAGTAAACCAAAACTGTCCAACTACTACCTTAACTTGCTTTTCTTTCTTTTTCCGCACATCTTCCCATTCATTCACAATCCTCCCCCAGAGGATCCATGAGTCTTCCTCAAGATGGCTGAGATTGCTAGAAGCTGATGAACTAGATACAAGAGAAGATCCACTATTTCTTCTTGACCCATTTACTGATCGCAAGGATTTGCTATCTGTTTCCAAGAGTCTGCAAAGAAAGCACAAAAAAACCCCACCCCAGTAAATTCAAGTCCTTCTGATCACAGGACCACATTATTAATTGTTTAGAAGTCAAGTCTTCCAATGTCTTTACAAAGAACGCTCCCAAAGTTTCTATGGAACAGTTTTTCTAACCATCATTTATACTAAATTTGAAAAGAACTGGTCAATGTTACTGTTTCTTCTTGAGTACTCAAGTAATTCTGCACACAGAACAGCAGCTCACATTGCAGCACTTAAGAATGTCATATATTGCATCAACAATACTAACAGAAGTGAGATTTTAATACAAGTGTTATGTAGTCTCAGGTAAATAGATCTTAACACATAAAGATACCAAACTACAGAAAGCACAGAAGCATTGCAAGTCCAGCTCTCTTACACATTCATCAACTGGCTATTAACAGCCCGACAGAGAAGATGTGCAAGTTCTGTTCTGAGGCACAAGTACCAGCAAGAGGGCTTTGACTGTACCAGCAACAAAACCCCCAAAGCTATTGTGCATCAGACTGACAAAGAGGACATAGAAGTTAAATATCCTCAATGATAGTTTCAAATTATAGAATAGTTTGCGTTGGAAGGGACCTTAAGGGTCATCTGGATCCAACGCCTTTACCATAGGCAGGGACAAAAATCCAGTATTTATTGGGAAAAAGTGAACAGAAGTCTTCCAAGGAAAAGTAAGATGTCAAAGAATTGCAAAAAAGAGTAATTTTAAATAAGAGGGAAAAAAAATATTAGCTTCCTAAAAGTCTACCTGATTACACTTTTTTAATTGACAATGTAAATACAGACAGAATCATTAAAATCTGGAGCAATTTTAAAACACCTGACATTTGCTGACACTGTGCATAACTCAACATGGTGTTTTATAAACATATCTCACAGCTAAAGAATGAGGATCAGGCAACAGAAGTGGGTAGTACAGTGAATGAATGTGTAATAAAGTGCAGAGCTCAGCTGCGAGAACTGCCGGGCTTCTCGGGCAGCAAGGTGTACTTAAAGGCATGCCAGGAGCTGGACAAGCTGCTGAACAGACTTCCCTATTAGCTGCTTACTGCGGCCATCAATTTTGCCAGAAGCCAGGGATTCTGGGCAAAAAGGTATGGTTTTTATCCTCAACTAGTAGCAAGCCCCCAGAACAACGGGAAGACCTTTTTAAACCACATGTTTGGCAAGAGCAAGAGTTCAGACTAACTTGAAAAAGTGTTTGGTTATATCAAGCATTTCATTGTGCTTTAAATTCCAAAAATTCCCATGTCTGTAAATCCCAGTGTTCTGGTTGAACAATTTATCAATGCACCTGCACAAAAGTTAACCTTCCCCTCCTTTGCCCCCAGCATTTCAGCAGTGTCAGGTTAGGCTTTAGATACTTGATAAATTATAACCCAAGTTAGATTTTGCCCAAGATTGTACATGAATCTCAGCACACATACCAATTTTTAAGCTATCTGCTATGATAGAGATATTTAAATCAGCTTTCCCTGTTCCAAGCTTTCACCCACTGGTGTTCATGTAAGTTATAGAAAAAAAGCCATTTAATTAACGAAGACAAGTACAGTCTCCGCTCTATAAAAAGTAGTATTTTGTTTGGAAAAGGGCTAAATAGTAATGCCTCTGGGAAAAAAACCAAACAACTAGTTTTTTCAAGACCAATTTTCACTTAGTCCATATTAATGGAATGCAGAAAATATTGTTTTCAGAAAAAAAATCCATTTTCAATGTTTAGAAACCTGGCTTGTACTGATCCATATTGAAAGTTTGCAGTCTGAACTCCTCCTCTCAAGCCGAGATGGTGCCTAAAGATAAATTTAAAGTAGCCACAGAGGAAAAGCAAGCACAGAAGAATCATTACATTTACAAAAACAAGTTTCATTTTTCACAGCTTTCTACAGAAGTTACTCTAAGTTTCTGTAATTTGACCTTACCTGGATAAACTCATTATCCTTCGATTTGAAAACAGGAAGTTCTTTATACAGCAAGAAGTGAGTTCTGTGGTGTTTAGTCAATGTTTTCTTTCACTTAAAACTTTATAAATGATTTACTAATGCCAAGCAGTTCTGCCAGGACTCTGGACCGAGCTAGCACATTATTCTGAGGAAACTTTCAGTACAATTGGATTACAGAATGCCTTCTAAGACATAGCTTGATACAATTAGAGCTCTTTCCATTTCTAGCTGTTCAACTAATTCATGTTCTCCTTATTGACATAGAAGCCAGCAATGAGAAAGAAACCTTTAAAAATATCCATCACCAGCAATTCCTCCAGCAGGCAGAAAGAATAGTTCCCTGTGTTCAGAGTACAATTCCTTGTCAACAAAGTGCTACTGTGCTAAAATGCAGATTCAAACTGTTCTGAAACTGCAGTGCATACAGCATAAGAGCATCAGATTTCTGTATTAAAGTGTAAAATCTCATGAGAGAAGGTACACTTGATAGGATAGCCTCTAATTAGAATTCACACAAGACTATTGTGGGATTGAACAACAGGTCTGGCTAAAATTTAATAAAACCAGACAAGATTTTCTAGCTTACTTATTAAATGAAGAAAGCTGACTTGAAAAAGAAAGCCTAGCAAACCCAAGCTCTCATTCTTCTTTCAATAAGCAAGCTAGGCTAACTGCAAGGCTTAACAAGATGACTCTGGAAGTAAAGACATTAAGCTCCAACAGAGATAAGCGGTCCAAAGAACAGGTACTACTGCTTTTCAAATAAAAGTTAGTCACTTAGTCATGAACAGAGTGAAATGCCTCAGATTGAATGCAAATTAGCTTTCTTAAAAGCACTCTAACATTTTTTTCTTCAGATAAATTTTCATTTGCACAGCAAAAATTACATACAGTTCATCTTCAAAGGAGAGAAAATCTCATAAACCACAAGGGGAAGAGGATGAGGTTGTTCAAGAAGCTGCCTTCCATTCTCAGTCAAGAACCAGACAGATGCAACAAATTCTCTGTAAGATGTATTGCTATTAAGCTGCAGAACATGAACATGAGAGAAGATGATGCCAGGTGACAGCATGGCATTAGCTCCTCCTCCTCCCAGTTACTCTTTTTCTTTACTGAAAGTTACTGCCCTCATAACTGAATCAGCAGAGTCAAAACCAAAAAACAACTAGAGTTCCTAAACTGCCCCAGTGCAAAGTCCAGCACACCACCAAAACTGGAACACAAGCTGGTTTGAGCTAAACTACCAAACTCTGCACTTCACTACAGCACAAGGGACAGTGATCTTCAGCAGGTAGCCAAGCCCTGCAGCTGTCTGCCAGATCTAAAACCTATCTGGAGCTCAAGTTCTCCTTTAGAGTCAACCTCTCATGAACTACTGAAACATACTTGTCAAACATAACCTAATTTTGCAAGAGGCCAGATGACTTATAAGTCTTGCCTCAAAAGCACAAATAAGTATGGGTTCTGGGAAGAAGAGAAAAAGGAATTCAGAAATCTAAAATTTCAAAAAGCTAATAGAAATTATAATTTTGATCTAAGAAGGCAAGGAGGTTATATTAAAGTCTCATCCCTGAGACACTCTATTTTAAATTGGATACTGAAAATCATATGGCCCCAGTGCAATTTCTTCAGATTAGAGGCAGCTGTAAGCACTCCTGTAAAACCAGGAGAGAACACCACCTTTCAGAGTTCCACAAAAACAGAACTACTGCACAAGAACACAAGTTCTTAAACCTCATGGCCTTGAAATTGCAATGTTGTGCCATGAAATTTTACCTACTAGCCCTCCTTTAACAGCCTCTCTGCTGAAACCACAATAAGCCAATTTTAGTCTCATTTCTGTTCTTGGAAGATCAAAAAGGTCTCCATTCACCTGTTCTGTTCCTCAAGTTTAGCCAGTAACTCTAAGTCGTCTGGACTCAGCTGTGTTGGTGAGGATGGCGATAGCACGGGTGTAGACAGAGTGGTAGAGGAGGATGTAGTGTGTAATGAGGCAGATGGACTTGCCACCTGACTGGCCATTTGACTGACGGTGTGCGAGACGGTGTTCTTCACCCATGAGAGAGTAGAGCTCAGCTTTCCTGCAACCTTGTCTGTCGCCACCTGCCACGACAAAAAGAAGAGGATGCAATAGTTGTCTTTAATACCTTTATTTTCAGTAAACCTGCTGCCCCGAACAAAGGAAGAAAAAATATACAATCTGCATGAACTGACATTGAGATCATGTATTTCTCCAGAACTGTCAGGCTGCCAGAAGCAATGCAAGCATCAACAGCAACACAATATCATAGAAATAACATGCAAGTATGCTGCTAATCCACAAAGTAAGTATACTCACAGAGCTCATTTCTGCAGTACAGAAATACCACAGGATCCAGGATCAGCTCAGACTTCCCGTTACAAAAATAAATAGAAATAAAAGCTTATTTTTAAACATCTTAATAAACTAATAATGACACAGAAACCATAGAAAAACAGATATAGAAAGAGTCAACTACTTCCCTGAAGGGCACTGAAGCAGTACAAGAAAACACTTCAGACCAACCACTGCTCACCTTCCATTAATCCCTACAGTGGCAGGACAGAGGAGCAGGGGCACCACATTTCTAATCTACACCAAAGCACAAGATCCTCTAGTCAGTGCGCAGGGAAGTCACCAAGAATTTACATTCATGAATCTACTACAGCTCCCGAATGTCTTACCTTAAGGCCTCACACTGCCAACTCCCTTCTCTTCCTCACTTTACCTCCAGGTCACCCTTACACCAATTGTCCTCTGATCCTACTGCCAGCATGTGGCCAAGCCTGCAGTTTGAGAGGAGTCAGGAGGAAGAGTGAGAGGTGCTACTAGAGCAGAAGGGAGCTCCAAGCAGACAGTCAGGGAAACCATGGGTCCAGGAACAAGGAGGTTAACAGGGACTGATCATAATCTGCTGCCACTTCTTGACCAGTGTTACAGGGTAATGCAGCCCTAACAGATTCACTGATCACTAGAGAAGAAAGAGCAGCAGCCCCTGGAGGTATTTTCTAATGAACCCCTCAACTGGAAATCTAAGAGGCTTTGATCTACAGTGATTCAGAGCTCAATTCTCCCCTGGCCCAACCTAGAGAAACTCCAGATGCACCTTAAAGTAAGAGCCAGCTGCCTTGCAAAACGTTAAACTTTTCAAAACCAGCTCTGAAGAGCTGAAGAGGTGCTGCTGGCAACTATTTATTCTGACCTTTACTGACTTCCTCAAAAGACTGAATTGCTCAATGGTTGTCACAAACAGCTCCACAGTACAGCCAATACAGTAACTGCTAAGAGACTAAAGACACTGAGCTATGGGAAAAAAATCCTTTCCCAAGATCCTTCAGTAGAATCTAGTTAAAGCAGAATTTCAACTGGAAAAAAGTAACTCCATCTCAACACACTGTGCATGTATCTACATACTGTGCACAGTATATAGACTGACTGGTTGCTAAAGAAGCTTTCTGATACAATGCTACCATTAACATTTTCTGTGTATCAAATCCTGAAGTATTTTATTTTCATGTCATATTGAAAGGAAAACACACTGAACATCTTAAGGCAACAAGAGGAACACTAGAGGCCAACAGAGATTGTCAATCTCCCCACTTCCTGTCCACCAGCAGCGTAACACCTAAGAGCTCTCCTAGAGGACTGTGAAGAGATTTCCAGCTTCCACATGCTCAACATTCATCCTGGAAGCAGTAACAACATTTTGCCAGAAATCTTCAGCTGCAGGGATACAAATCACAGGTAAGGTCCCAATGTAAGCATCAGAAAGGTCCCTGCTGGTTCTGTCACTGTTAGACAGGAAAGCTCAGGCATATCAATGTTTCACAAAAGTCCCCAAACCAACACAATCTTTCAAAGACAATCTTTGAAAAATCCCGTCTAATACTAGCAGCATCTTTTACACAAGAACAGAGTAAGAATTGCTAGAGGTTTCAAAACCTTAAGCTTAACACATGCATTAATATTTCACTCAGTCAATATCCTTTACCATCTATTACTATGAAAGGATAAATTATTGCTGTTTCACTTTGAATTATGATAAAGGTAACTCATACATCTCACTTAAGACTGATTATTTCCTTAAAGGCTTTAAACTGCCTAAAATATGATAAGTGATGCAACTATTCCAAAAATAACAGCTGGCAGAAATGGCCCAACCTTAACAACACAGCAGAAATGAATGCCAGATGCAGCAGGTTTTAGGACTCATCCATTCTAAGAATCTTACATAGAAATATTAGAGAAGCAGTGATTTTGAGTAATTCCCTATGAGACAGAAACAGGAAGAGAAAGTATACAACAAGTTTTATCTTTTTACAAAGTAACTAGGAAGACTTAAGGTGAAAAATCCAAGGCGAGTCTGGCTTATCAGTTATGAGGCTGATTCTCCACATTAAGATACTCAAAGCAGGGGTTGGGGTGACAGACAGAAATCCAGAATCTTGCCAACATTCATTCATCACTATGCATTAGAAAACACTACTGTGAATGTTTGCAGAAGCCAATTATGTTAAGAACACTAAGAAAAAGCATGGTCAGAAAAACCCCATGCAAGACAGCAGTTAAATCAGAACAGTGAGTCTAACAGCACCACTGTTCCTAAAAGCAGCTCCAGGTTTCATTAGAATGTATTCGGAGAACTAGTGAAGTTCTCTGGAAAAGAGAAGTCAGAGCTATCTAGTTGTTGAAATTAGTCCTTCTGCCTTTAATTATGCCAATGAGAATCAATTCAGTATGAACGACAGCAGATCCTGTCACTGGGTAACACCAGCTCCAGGAAACAGGAAAATATGTATGAGCCTGTAGTTTAACGCCTCCCTGCTTCAGGGATGTGATTTTGCTTATCACAGCATTCTGCAAAGAAAGCCACTATCATTAAACCTTTAATCTTTTCTTTGTATTTTTTGACAGAGTTTTATCAAGGCCTTCCTAAACAAATGCTTCTTTTAAAAACTGGTTATTATTTAACCAGTGATACTTCTGCAGGCCTGCAGCAGTGTCTCCCTTTTGGCATCCCTTCCTTTACAGCAACAATGCTCTGTACTTCAGTTATGAAGTGTCCTTCGCTTTGCTACTCTTCATTACTGGGAAATCATGGTCGTGTGCTCAGCTATTTGTAGCAGTAACAAGGACAGCCAGCTGACAGATACTCCACAGTGGCTGTCCCAAAACCTTAGCTAGGTCACAGCCTTTGCCATCATCCTCTTCCTGCGTAGGCACCTCTGCTGCTTCCACTCTGCTCACCCTGAAGCACTCACACTCATGCAGTTGCTCTGCATGGAGCCCTCCTGTGCTGCGTATGGAAGCAGCTCAAGCCAAGACTCCACTCCCCAAGTCCCAACACCAACCAGATCTAAGCAGCTCTCCATCCCTGCAGCTAACCAGCTCAGACTGGAAGCCCCTAGTTAATGATGTCCTCTGCTCAGCTCACCTGAGCCAGTTTTCCAACTATGCAAAGAGAATTGGTCTCCTGATTATTCACAGCATTCTTCAGATGCTGAAATTCAAGTTACATTTGAAGAATATAAAAGGTAACCTACATTGGTTGGGAAGTGTGCCAAATCATCGAGAGCACCATAAGGATGATCAAGCCATTATTAATTATTACTAATGTGCGATCAAAACCAGAGTTAACTCATTTTTAATTATTGCTTTTTCCACAGAGGGCTCTTGCTCCAGAACCTGCTGATCAGTCAGACTTCCAACACAAACGCTGCTCCCAGCCCACTACCAGGGACACCACCACAGATGTTCAGGTCTGGAGAGAAGCAGGCAGGGGTCCACTGCCTTCACCATGTGCAGGAGAGGACAGGGAACTGAGGAGGCACCATGCAGCTCCAAACCAGGTACACTCATTCTGGCTCCATGCCACAACTGCACTGCTCCTGGTTTGCCAGCAGAGTTCATTCACATCTGCCTGCCTAAGACCAGGTAGATACCTCCTAAATAAGTGTGTGAAGGCTGAGTCTGAAAATGCTGATCTTTAAGAAGATGAGGGGGGTAAACCTTAACTACTAAAGACTTTCTATACTGGGGCAGTTTCCAGTAAGCAAAACAGCAGAACTACCAAGCAATTCTCACCCATCTGGTCAGTCATCAGGCAAGGCACAGAGCTGCCTGCTGCGTACTTAAGCTACTGCAAAGACAATTAATGTTTATATTTACATTACACAAACATACACACAATGTGCAGTTTATATATACCAATTAAAATACATAAAATTCAGTATCCCAACTTTACATTTAGTATCTTTAATTAGCTACTGATCACAGCACTTTATCACCTAGAGGATGCACAATTCTGTGTTTAGATTTTTTAGTTACTCAAAGGAGTACTGCAGTGGAGCAGCACTGGAAATATTTTAAGTAAGGCAAGCTGAAGGTAGACTGCAGCATCCCATAGTAAAGACAATGATATAAATCCCTTTCCTTGAGAATCCCAAAGTAGCACTTTACAGTAAGCCCATAAATTTTACCACCACATAGTTTTGCACTTGCCAGACAGAAAACATTTGTTTTTCCATAAAAAAGTCTTTAAAAAAAAAAAGGTATTACACTGTAAACACTGAATTAGCTTAATACCCATATTCTGCATTTTTCTAAGGAAAATCTGTATTCAAGCTACAGGTATCCTGATTATCCAAATTACTGTCTTATTTCATGACAAAATAAAATAACTGCAAGCCTTACACAAACACTACTGTATATATGTTCTCTAATCTTTCTACTTTTTGTGAAAAGAGAAAGAAATGGGAACTTCTAGAATACAGGAAACAATCCTCATACTATTCTACATAAGCCTCACATAATTGGGGATGAAACTGTGTCAAGTGGTTTTCAAGCCAGTTATATGGCATTCCTCAGACCTGGTCTCCTGCTTGCTTCAAAAACAGTTAATAGCCTTCTAATACCTGAAGAATAAACTAAACTGACTCAGTCAGTGACATAGGCAGGAGAGGCAGCTGGTGAATCAGCCCGTTATCATGGTTCCTGACATGCTAGAAATTCTAATTTAGGGCTCAAACATGGTTTCACTATGTTTCTTTTATATCTTTTACACTACAAATTCATGTAATTGA